TCAAAGCGTCACTGATTCGCTAATGCAATTCTGTTAATATTCGATGCATATCTACTGTTGCATTATTTTCTACGATTACTGGTAAAAAGGTTTTTGAATAGTATAAAAATACATTATATATATATATATAATTATATATAATAATTATATATATATATATATAATGTATTTTTATAGTATTCAAAAAAAAAATATATATATATATAAGCATAATACAACTAGTATATCGTTAGAGCCGATTGAAATAATTGATTACTGTTCAATCATTGAAGTCAAACAACTAAGACCATGATTAATAACGCGTAACCACAACAGAATAATCGAGTTTTTGGATGGAAAATTACGAGAACAAGGACGAGAGAGGGGAGAACACATACACAACGACCGTCAGTGATGCGACAAAAGAAATCTCAAGATTCTTAAAATTAGTTAAATAGAATTATCAAAAAATATAAGAAAATATATATAAAAATATATATAAATATATAAGTAAAATTCTTAGGATGTACAATTCTTTAATTGGAAGAAGCCAATAAGAGCAAATGCTGATAAACAGTTGCCAAGATTTAAAAAATACAATATTTTTATATATCAAATTTTTGTAGTAAAATGAGAAAATTGAATGAAACAGAGGTAAATCTGGTAGAATGGTCAGCATGAAAGAATAATAATCTGCAGTAACGTTAAAATACATAAAACAATCAGCGTTATCAGAACATCATATAGAAAAAGTGCAAAATCCTATTTGACCAAACAGCAGTTCCAGCCAAAATTAAATGAAACAATTTTCTTCTTTGAAGCAATTATCCTTCTTGAACCAAACAATAAATTATCTGGATGAGACAATAAATTATTTGAACTATCAACACAAATAGAAAGCCAAACGATTCTATTTGTTAAATTTGTTATATACAAAATTGGTTTGTTTGGACTATTTCTATAAATTTTTATTTATTTCAATCAAAATTTTTTTCAATTAAATTTATTTCAATTAAAACTTATTCACTCCAAAGGAATCACACACACACACACACACACACACACACACACACACACACACACTCTCTCTCTCTCTCTCTCTCTCTCTCTCTCTCTCTCTGTTCCTCTGTATCGTGGCCTCGATATTTTCATATTAGAATTTTTTATTCTAAATGAGCCTCAAAATACGCTATTAACATGTTTCGAACCAATTTTAATTGTTATTTATGCCACATATGTCTCACCGGTAATCTCCATTGTCATATTATTATACTTGTTAAATAATATATCCATCGTATATAATATTTATAAGAGAATATATCATAATTGTTTTATTTTAAAGTAAAAATATCAAACGGCCTGTCCGGAACCTGTTAAAATATTGTACGATAATTCTGGAAAGATGAGTATAAATTATATAAATCATGACATTTATATATATATATATATATATATATATATATAGGTTCGTTTAGTAAACACGATTGGTTTACAATGGTTCAGTAAAAGTCATAATGTATTATCAGATATACGATAACATTTGATATAATTACTTATAAATTGTTAACTAACTTACATTCGACTTTCACTATGTGTATATATATATATATATATATGTATATATAACAAAAAACATATTTCACTGTGTGAACTCGTCACCTTATAAATACAAACGTCGAGTTCGTTGATTAAAATTGAATTCAATAATATTTTTTATAGAATATTAAATAAATATTTCTGATATAGTATAATTCATAATTAGCTGGTAAAATTAGTGAATAATAAAAAATCGAAGAATTATGTCACACTTTCCACTTCGTTTTTCTGCACTTTACCATATATAAAAAAATTTAGATATTACATTTCGATTGTGTTTAATGCCAATAAATATTCAACTTAAAAATAAAGCAAAACTAATCCTGGAAATGGGGAATACTTGTCATAATTATGAGAAAAAATCTATTACTTTTACTATAACATTCAATTCTTATAATTAACAAACTTGACAAATCAAATAATTTGCTATTTAAAAACACTCCGCTTTAATACCAACCGCCGAGAGCTGAACGTTCCTTACACAAAAGCGTTAAATTTCATATCGATGAGATACAATACGAATGCACAGCCGTAATCACAGTACTACGAATTATATCGTAAAATCTTTGCCACCACGGCTTGACAAGGATAATGTATATGATATACAAGAAATTTTATTTAAATTTAGAAATAGAGAACGTTCAACGACACAGCGACGACGAGACGACGACGAAGAGAATGAAAATGAAGACGTCAACGACGATGATGATACAACGAAGATGACGATGCAGATGACGACGATGACGATAAAAACGATGATAAAAGCAACGAATACAACGAAGGCGGCGATGACGACGATGAGAACAATGAATGCGACGACTACTACGACGGTGATTACTATGACAGTGACTGTTATAATTACAGTTACAACAGTACAACAGTAGAAATGACGACAATAATGAGGACGATGGTTATAATAATGATTATAATAACGATAATGGTGATGATGATGATGATGACGACGAAGACAACGACAATGGCGATGATAATGAAAACGACGACGACAATGACGATAACAATAACGATGACGATGACAATGACGACGACGACGACGACGACGACTACGACGACGACGACGACGACGACGATGATGACGACGATGCTGTTCGCCTTTTAGTAAAGGTAATGAGCATAACGCTGATATTTATTCCTCGTCGGATATAGACGCTCTCCTTCACGAGTCAGGTAAGCATAGAAATGAAAACGTTCGTAATTAGGTCTCTCTCCCGCGTAATTTTACAATGGCGCCTTTACGACTCGACAAGAAGGTATAACATCATGCATTTGGATTCCTCACTAAAGCAAAGACGCGAGTAATCACAGCCATATCACTAGAAACATTGCTTGCGCATATCCTCTTTTGCAAGTGAGCCTTCATATTCTCGATTTGAACATTTCTATACTACACTAAAATGACATTTAAATAAATAGACAAACCTTGTTGTTTAAATATATATTTTTATTCATTTGATTGAATAATGAATAATGTGTGCATGTATATATATATATATATATATATATATATAGAAATATATAGAACTTCCCTTTGTTTAAGATGCGTCTATTCATTTTTGTCATCCTGATGTATAAAAATAAAACAGAAAATTAAAAACGCAAAAGGTTTTATGGTATTAACTCAATATATTGGTCTAAAAACAAAACAGTATTTCCTTTTCTTAACAATTATAACATAATTGAACGGATGTTTAATAATTTATCAATTAAAGAGCCTTTAACTGACACAATCTGTAACTTTGTAATTTCAAATTCGCTGAAACAAAAATATGACTGAAAGAGTTATGAATAGGAAATACACAACAATCTCAAAATTTTTAGAAACAAAGTATATATTTCGTATACAAAAAATTATACATATATATATATATATATATATACATATACATATGCATATACATATATATATATATATATATATACATGTGTGTGTGTTGTACAAAACTAATAGTACAAAAAGTTTGCGAAACGCGATAAAGCACAAAACATTATCAGCCATGGAATATGATATTGTATCAGCGAACGCGTGAAAGCTTCTGTGCGCTCGATAATGTATGAGCAATAATACTCAACAAAAGTATCAAAAGCGAAAGAACAAACGGAAGCACTGGTACTAAGAAAATATAAAGAGAAAACAGGAGCGACATAGGAAGAGATGGGGAGAAGGAGGGAGCGGGAAAAGAGAGAAAGGTTGAGCGTGTCACAAGTAATTGTCCAGCTAGCCAGCGCATCCAAACTCAAAGTTATATAAACGGCATTTTTCTTCTCGTTGTTTTCATGTGAGTCCTTCGTACACAAAACGCCGTATCACCCCACAGACTAGTATATAGTGTATATAATATTAGTGCATTGCGTGTATACGCCATCACAAATCACACTCTTCTGTTCACAACACTGCGTTCTCGTTTATTTCATTGTATATATTGCGATCTTTCTTTTTCTTTTCCGCGCAGTCGCCGTTCATTCAGATGGTATCTCTTCTTCGTACACATCAAATTATGACGCACAGCTTCGAAAGAGTAGGAAAAAAATGAAAAACGGACAAAAAGTACGCGAAGAAGCACAAAAAATATGTCTCCATGATCGGGTCGCAGAAATCTCTCTGCATTTTACTGCACGTGCCTGTATTAACGCATTGAGGTATAATAAACACCTTTTCAATTCTCTGTGTACATAAAAGATGTTCTTTAGTGCATTAAGTCGTGCGGTCTGATTTAGATGCAGCCATCTTATCTGACAAAACATTTAAATGTTAGACAAACAGCATGAACAAGAAAAAAAGATGAGTATCTATGAGTACGATATATCTATGAATAGCAACTTATGCTATCTCAATCATTCGTCTACTTCTGCTTATGAACTTTAAAGAACTTTTCGAGATATTTTACGGAAGAAGGATGCTGTACGCACGCACGCGCGCCTATATATATGTGTGTGTGTGTGTGTGTGTGTGCGCGCGTGCACGCGCAATACGTTGTAAAACGCGCAAATACAACAATAATTGCGACACAGAGGCATTGCATCGTAAGAATTATCTACACTACTAATCCGAAAATATTCAAATACGAGGAATATCGAGTACGCAAATGAAAAAATTCGCATTTGATCGGAATACACTGTGTCACAAGCAATTAGAGAATAAACTAAATTATATCGGGATTTCAAACACATAAAACAACAGTAATCGTAATAGAAATGCAAATAATTTAACTTCATACTTCAGCATAGAATCGTTAGAAGCCAAAATGCAAATTCTACCTGGCAGCGGTAATTTCATTCTTCCCTTTCGAATATATAGTATCAGATAATTTTAGACGAGAACAATGCATATGAAAGAACGTTGGTCCTATCGATTACTACTGCCAAGCCGTAAGATAATTAATCCCCGTGTCCTGGTGTAAAACACTTACCGCGACTTTGATTGTACCCTGCTTGCCACCCTGCGTAATACGCCGCTTTTTGTTTCCCGTGTTCCTCGGCAATTTTGACGCTAAGCGGCTCTGACCCACCCTCTGGTATTGTGCCGTGAAGTCGCGCGATCGCTTCCTGTGCTTCTTCTCTTTTATCGAACCTAGAAGCAAACCATGGCAATTAGAAACAGATGATAGTACGCGCAGATAAATTGCAAATGTAAGCAAAAATGTTGTAAACGCCGCTTAACATTACAACAATGCTATCACTCAACAGTACAACTGTTATATACGTGTTATATTGCATTGTTGAGTGAGAAATGACAACATTAATGTTTACTGGGATTTTATTATCTATTCGTCAGATGGTAACTTGAAATTGAAAAAAATTGACGACAAATTTTTCAATTAAAAAAAAAAAAGTTTATTCGTACAATTCGTTTATGTTTATAGCGCGACGATGGGATGTCGTTTTAGTACATGTATAATGTAGATAGAAATAATGATTTATTATATAATCCCGATATCAGTCGTTTATTTGGATATTTTGCGAATATCTGGGATCGAATGTAAAAAGAAGGGGAGCACATTCATAATGAATTTATATAACTTCTAATGCAATATTGATACTAAAAGTACAAAAATACTTTGGCAAGAAACTTTCACGATTATGCGCGCGCGTACCAACTGCGTTGTGCAATGATATAGTAAGATCGCTGCAAACAGCTGTTTGGAAAATGTTCTAATTTCAAATAGCAAATAGTTATTTATACATATACGCGATGAGAATGTGTGTCACGTTAGATAGAGCACACTTTGAACGTTTTATTCATGAAATAATTCTATCTGTAAGAAAAAAGAAACATTTGAAGATCAGATAATTACAGTTGTACATTTTTTCTTTTTGTAAATGCGGATAAATTTTGTAATATCATATACGGCAAGCATTACGGTACATAAAATTAGAAAAAGTGTTACATCTCAAATATCACAGCAACGTATACGTTTAAACTTACCGAAACCAATATTAATAATGGTAATTGTTTGCTCACCGCACAAATGCTACTCCTCTCGGTAAACCAGTAAGTTTATCCTTCAAGATATTCTTCTGTACGATGTTGCCATATTTGCTAAAGATCTCGTCGATCTGGCTTTCCGTGATATTTCTGCAAAACAGAAAGAAATAACGCTCTTCTCAATATTTGCCGTGTAATTTATGTTATGAATCCTGGAAGAAGATTCTTATCTACCTTGGTAAATTCGTAACGTAAAGATTCGTTTCTTTAATTTCTTCGCCGGAAGGTCGCGCGAACGACACTTTCAAACGTTTATTTTGCACTTGCAGTCCATTTAGTGTGCTAATCGCCGTTGCAGCATCCTCGGCTTTCGCATAGTTTACAAAACCGAAACCGTAACTGTAACCAGTCTGCGCATAGAAATATACAGTTAATAATATGACACAAAGAAGCAAATACTGTATCGAAGATTAAATGTATACAATTTACCTTATAATCCTTCATGACTCGGCAGGACTCGACGGGACCAATGGTCACGAACAGACTGTAGAGTTCCTTCTCGTTCATGTTTTGTGGGAGATAATTAATAATCAAATTTGTTCTTGGCTCCTCATTGCCTTTAGTTTGCTGCTGTTGCTGCTGAGGTTGCGGTTGTTGCTGCTGTTGCTCACGCTGATCGGTCATTTTGTCTCTGCACTGCTGCGAGTCACCCGATGCTGACTGATCTGAGACGGCGATCGGACAGTTCCGTTGCTGCACGACCAATGAGTCCACCACCAGCAGCTGAGGTTGTATATTCCAACTGGTACATTCCAACGGAACCATCGACGGGGTCGGCAAATACAAAAAATATAAACAAATTCATTACTACGTCTTCCCCGTGCAATGCCACGCTCGTAGACCAGCCTGCGCTTTTGAATGCTTTCATCGTCTTTTCTTTAAGCGATTTCAAAATAAATAGAAAATAAATGTGCATATTTTTATGTATGATGCCAGACCTGTGTGTGAGAAACAAACAAACAACGGCAAGTAAGAACAAAACAGAATCAGAGAGAGAGAGAGAGAGAGAGAATGGGCAGAAATTAAAGGAAAAAAATATATGAGTATGTGTGTGTGTATATATATATCAAACAAAATGCATCTGATGATAATGAATTCTCTGCATACAATGAGACAAATTCCGACAATTCCACGGATATAATACGCAACTGCGAAAAATTAAATAATGAGATGAATTTTTTTCAATGCTTCGCATACGTATTTAATATTTTGCCGAAGGCGAAACTTCCGAAAGTTCGAAATAACAATATGATCAAGAGAGACGAGAGTGATGAGAATAATGCGAGAAGTATACAACAGCATGTTGCGAATATTCGAGCTACACCGTGTAGCGACACCGAGAAATATCGAATTTCATTGAGCGTCGCTGCGAGAATTCATGTCTGCTCGACGTCAACACGAAGGGCAGCAGAGCTCAGCGTTCAGGTTCATTCACACAAAGTTCGAAGGCACTTTTCACACGCTGAAGCGGAGGACGAAAAAAAAATTATCCGCGCTCGCTCATATTTAAACAAAACACCGCATTCAATGGTCGATGCATTTAAATGACGCCAACAAATGTCCTTTGTCATTCGAACCATCTCGTCGTTGACAGCAACAAAAGGGAGGGGGAGGAAGGAGAACTGGGACAGTCGAGGTGTACGAGAAAATTGTCCAAGTTTGCAAGCAATGTAACCTTTTGACCTTATTTTGAACAGACTCGTGGAAGTGGCCCAGCCGATTCGTGAATCGACCAAGTTGTTATAGTGTAGAGCGAGAGACATGAGAGAGGAATACATATCTTCGTGCGCGCGCCCCACCACACACACACACACACAAAAGCGCGCGCGATGTGCGTACTCACACTCCTGAGGAAGCGGGAACGGACGTTGAATAGAGAAAACGTCGAAAGTGACGGGAGAATCGTATGAATAAACGGATGTTTCGTATACATACCGAAGTGAGGCAGGAAGCCTACTAACCCGATGAGCAGCGCGCGAGCGCACGATTCACTGCGGTGGGATGCACTTATTTGCGTCACGTCACGCGCCGCTAATACACACCGACGGATAATTATATAAGAACTACGCGTACTATCGCGCTAACGAACCATCTACACGAACTCGCGCGTTTCACAAACTCCCACGAATATCTCAGGCGCGCGCACACGAAGGATGGTTCGTTCAACGGTGCCGCGCGAAGCAACGAAAAAGCGGCGGTAATGCAGCACACATAGGAGTGACGACAGCACACGTCGCGTAAAGGAGAAAGGGAACGGATAAAGCCGGCCCACTGCACGCGCGAACACACTGAGCCCAGCCCTGACCTGCCTCGAGCGACACCCTCTCGCATCCCCCCGTGGCCCCGCCGCAGCTGCTGCGCCGCGCACGCACAGGGCGAATCGCCGCATCGTGTTTACGCGGTCTCGGACAGTGCTGCGATTTCAAGCCCATGCGCGCCAACGTTTTTTCTTCTCTACCGCATATCGGAGATGCTCGGTGGGCAAAGTCACATAGACGGTATGTAGCGATGAGGGGAAAAACAGGCTCGAAATCGCAGCATTTTTACTGCTTTATCTTTCCCATCTCTCTTCGACAGCCGCGAGGGACGAACGCACACGCGCGATTAGGTAGTTGAGAATATTGTGGAGAAAAAACGATTTAAACTGTGCCGAGGATACGTCGATTGATCTAGTAACTTTGCAATTATATTGCATAACGATGAGAATTCAGTCACTATGAATAATACGGTCGGCCTGATGATCATTTCCCAGAAGGAAAATTAACAGATTTTCAACCTTAATTGAAAGTCACACAAGTAAGTCCAATTACAATATCTCAGCGAAAAATAAATATCGAATCGTTTCGATGCTTGAATTTCGATCGTTTCGACGTCAATTTGATATTAATTCGTTTCTATACAGCATGTTTCCTTATTTCTGCTTTTAATATCTCGTTTCTTGTCTCTCAAGTCAAAAAACGTTGTCATATACAATTTGTTTCTTCTATCATTTCGCATGGACCAATCACAGAATAAGGCAAAAATATACTGATTATACATATTATTGTAAAATATAAAATAGCATTTAGGGCCATGTGGATTGCTGTAAGCAGAAAAACTTGGGGCCAGTAATCGGTATCAACAGTGATTGGTTATTTCTAGTCAATAAAGTGGCCTTTAAGTCCCAGTTTTGCAATCTCCAGTTAATTAAACTCGCTGATTATTCCATTGAAATTGACCAATCGCATTTCTCGTTAAGTAGAATTAGCCAGAAATGATCAACCACAGTTGACACTTAACCGGTCGGTTAAGTTAACCGGAGGTTGTAAAACTCCGGCCCTAAACAAGCTGACTAGCCAATCGGTACGTTTCTTTAGGTTTACATATTCTAAAAAACGACAGAAGTGACAATAAGTTTGTCCAAAAGTAACTAGAGCCTCAACCGACCGATTGAAATACTAGTTACTTCTGCTTAAAGGAGAATTCACACCTTCACAGATCGTAGAAAAGCAGCAGCCAATCAGAATTCGCGCTGGTAGTAAACAATAGATAAAGCAGAAACGGTCGATTACCAGCGCGCATTCTGATTGGCTGCTGCTTTTCTGCTGTCTAAATTGAGATTCCCTCAAAGACCAAACTTATCGTCGTTTCTATCGTTTTTTGGAGTAAACCTAAAGAAGTACTCCGATTGGTTAGTTAATTTCCTTACGACAATCCATGTGTGAAGGTTTTTAACACGTTGAGTGCTGCGCACATGATTTTCCACTAATACTCCATATGGGCTACTGATGGTACGTTATCGCATGTGTGCGTGTGTGTATATCTTATATTTTAAAAACTACAAAAATCATGATTACAAAGAGGGAGAGGTAAAATATACCCGCTATGTGGCCTGAACGGAAGTTCGACGTAAACGACACTCAACATGTTAAGAGTTTCCGCTATCAGGGGTAGTTTCAACACACAATGCAACTTTATTAGAATCTTCTAATCATATACATTATCGACTTGTTTTTTATTGATTATTCCAAGAAGTAAGAACGAAGCAACAATTTGCTATTGTGACTTGTAACTGTATGATAATGTTCAGAAACAAATGTATATAATTAAACATACTAATAATAGAAATTAGATATAGAAAATATCAATAACTTAATTATGCCGATATATATATATATATATATATACATATCTAGGTGTATCAGAAATCCTAATGTGAGTATTTTCTCTTAATAATTGACCAATTCATTGTACGTCGAACTATTTACAGATAGGATTGACTTTGAAATGTTTCGGGCCTTCTGTATATATCATTTTTACGATGATGCTCGAATTGTGACGGTACAAGTATTAATGCGACAATACATCGTTCGCTTATAGAGAATTGCAAAATATGCAATGAACACACAAACAACTTTTTATGCATGTCTCGAGTAAAAAAAAGATCGATCGCTCAGGCATCGTAATCAGAGTTCGGGAAACGTTGAAACGATGTGCTAATCGACTACTGTATATACTATATATAGGTCGAAATAAGACGCTAATAGTTTGCACGTGTCTCGTAAAACTGTGCCAAGAATACGATCTGTTTATCCTTGTGATACTTCGAGAAATGGACGATTGTAATAAATAAATTTTCCATGCAAAATGGAAAATGCGCTATTATCAGATTAGTTTCCGTATTATAGACGTTTCTCAACGTGAGAAAATTTACTTCGCTGTCTGCCTCGCTAATACATTTTACACAATATCGTCGAATTTTCCTCGCTTCTCTTGGCGAGAGTTTATCCAAAAATGTACCTCGAAGCAGCTTCCCAAGAAGGGATCACGAACATCGCAAGATCCCTTCTGTCGTCCCTTCGGCGAGCTCTTGGATGATGAAAATAACGCAGAAAATGCACGATTCTTATTACTGGCAAACAGATCGTTAAACGAAAAGCCGTGACGCGTCCGCGATAGTCGTTTGCCTTACGTATTTTGTTTCGCCACAGGGTCGTTTTACATGCTCGCGCTTAAGTGCAACAAAACTGCTATCACTGTTTCTATCAGCGACGTTCGAACGAATAATACAAACGAATAAGACAATAATAATTTGAACGAATGAACGATAATAATTCAACGCAACGGTTGTCATTTTTTACTCGCCAAATACTCGTGACAGATTCTCCGGCCAATTTGAAGCAAATTTTTCCAGAATTTCATTTTTTATTGAATCTAAGGTGGTTTCTTTTAGACAGAGATTTCCCCATCGATTTGGCAGAGAATTTATAATATTGTGTATGCATAAAACACGAAACAACATGAAAATGAAAATAGGACAAAAATTATAAAGTGTTAAAGAACGATAATTGTGGGACACCGTCATACACGATAAGGATATGAAATGACGAGGCTCCGCCTTCCAATAGCCCCATTCTTAAGCCTGTTCTATGGTACGCCGTATGCCGGAACGATGCTCCAATGAGAGAATTTATTTTTCGAAAGTGAGTTCTCATTGGACTATCGACTACGTTCTGGCATCCGACAAACAACATATTGTGGAACAGGCCTAAACGATGTGTCGTCACTTTCGTGTCGCAACTTTCCCATCATATATCTGCGTGCGATGGCATAATGATAATTATATTGTCGTTAAAATTTACAGAAACGACCTGCAACCCCATGACTGATGGGACGTTTCCAGACATTTCGTCCGGAAGGCTTCGCCCCTTTCAATCCCTTTGATTATTTCCAATCGGGAACGAAAGTCCGAGGGACGAAGCCTCGCAATTCTGCAACGCGCATTAAATTACTCTTTGGCCGGTATTTATAGCATCAAATCTTATATTTAAGTAATCTTACATTCTACATTGCTCTACGGTTCATTTCACTGGCTACAAAGCATCTGTAGATAAAGACCTAAGACGGTCTTAAATACAAGATCCGACTATGAATACCGGCCTTTAAAGGCTACTCAAAACAATATCCTTACATCATCGTGTATGACAGATTTCCTAACCCCACGAACACTTTCGTCTTACTTGAGAGCGGCGACGATTTTTACTTTCATATTCGTGTGTTACGTGAAAATACACAATATTACGCTAAAATATTACAAAATCTCAGCGAAATCATTGAGGAAGCCTCCCCCGGTTCCATAATTAGCCAGAATTTTAATTAAATCGATCATATTAATATATTCCGCGTGAAAAAGTTTATTTTAATACCTCAGCAATTGCGTTACAGCAACGATAAAACGATGATGCAGCACAGCCAACTTACCACACTTCAAAATGTCTTTATGCACTGTTCGATATTCCGATTTCATTTAGGCGCCTCGAACGACCGCGGCGTATATCAACTACACTTTATCCGCAAGAAAAATATTCCCGAACGTTCATGTAGTCATCTCTCGACTGTCAATGCGACATATTTCACAGTCATATCGTGCAGTGTGTTGCGTCATGTCGCATGGAGATGCGATGTAATATGATGCACACGTACATACAGCACATATATACGTAATCACTACGCTCGTATGACCTATTCGACAATCGCGCCATGAGAATAATAACTACACGTGTATAAATTAATGCGGCTTTATTCGCGACTGGATAAATTGCTTCTTATATTATTCCTCCCATATGTTTCGATCTGAAGTAGTTGTTATTATATATATTAAACAATTATGACTAAATACGAAGTTGCGCAAAAATATATCATGGATAATTAGGTTGTCTTGCACCTTTCTGCATTCATAACCTATAACGCTTGAATGAAATATTTTTGTTCGATAAATTTGCATTTCCACAAAATATATCGAGTATCCTTAGTAATAATATTACAAATTTCGGATAATCAAGAAGAAATTCGACAACACAATCCGTAGTGAACACACTGCCCCGTAAAATACCACGATATATTTTCACGATTATGCAAATGAAGGCTGGTTATTCATAGATCCAGGCTGCGTTCCGATATTCACTGCTAGTACTGCAAATTTCCAACTTATTGGTTTGTTTTTTATAGCTGAATTGGCTGTACCAGTTCGAGAAAATTATGTACACCGAAGCGTGAAAAACTTACACGTACGCTTCCTCAATGTGTATATAAATTTCTTGACCAATGCAGCTATAAAGAACAAACCAGATATATATATATATATATTGGCCACTGCCCAAAGCCAATCAACATACCGTTTCTCTACGAGAACGTATACATTGGGTGAATTATTCAATGCATTATTTAGTCGTTCTTTATATCTAATTGCGCAACTGCGTTCTTTCACTCAAATTGCAAGCAGAACTGCTCAATTTGTTTACATCTTTTAGCATCCTAATCGCCGACAGATTGATATGTCCATATATACACAACATATACATTATTTGGATCTCCATATAATAATTAACATACACGCACATATAATACGGCTAACTTGCTATATATCTGACCTGGAAACGTAATTTACCGGAATAAAAATAATTTCACGCAATAAATATATCATTTGAACATTCGCAAAAAAAATAGTTATTTCTGTGTAAAACGAAATTACAGGGTTTTGCTTACGAGTTTACAAAGAAATTTCTAGATTGTGACGCCTTTAAATGTCGCAAATCTTTGAGATCTTCTCTACTACGCGATACAAAATTAAAAACGAAAGATGTAATAATTATAATAATTCAATATATCGCGGCACTTTGAATTCGGACGCACCCTCGGCCGCCGTGGAGGGTTTCCTCTTGTTCATAATATTCTGAATCTTTTGCCATTCCCGATCGAGCTCGGCCTTTTCATTTTTCTCCTTGTTGTATTTTCTAGTACGCCTGCCGTCAGCCATCTTCACGCCATATTGAAAGGCCGCCTTGGGTAGCGCCTCTTTGTTATTCATGTATTCGCTGTATTCCTCGGGCGTATCGAAGTCCCAGCGGCCGATCGGGCCCTTCTTGTTGCCCAAATCCATCTTTGTGTAATCCACCTCATCGTCGGAATCGTCGATGGCGTCCTGCATCTCGTCCAGTCCGGGATAACACTCGGCGTAACCCTCCGGTTCGGCGGCCAGCTTGTTCAGCAACGCGCCCTTCTTCGGCGCGTTGCTATCCATCACCACCACATTGCCATTCTGTTGTGGCAACGCATTGTTCTGTGGTAATTGCGGCGCATTTGTCTTGTCATCGGTGTCCAAATTCGGCTCGAGCGGCTTGTCAAAGTACGAAGAGCCTTTCTTCTTTTCGCGTAATTGTGTGCCGTCCTTCTTGCTGGCTACGGTTGGCACATAGTCGCCGATGTCGCCATAGATACTGTCATCCGGCTGCGAAGGTCGCGGCTGTATGTCCATGTCATTCAACTCGTCGCCGCGTGCGGTCGATCGTGGCGCGTTGTCTTTCGACTTCTTGCCCTTTTTGTTGTGCCGACTACCTTGACGTAGATACGACAGAATCTGAGCTAGCTTATTGATAACAATGTCGTTGGTCGTGAGGGTGGGCGTGTTGTCAATGGTTGGCACATCCGCCTTGCTCCTGATCAGCGTTGTTGGTATGTCGACGTCGGCATTCTCATCATCCAGTTCGATCACGTACGCCATACGGCCCGGTGTGAACAGTTCATTCCTCTCGATCTGCTTGGACTTCATAGTCATGACAGTTTTATACACGTTCCGGCCAATCTTTGTTTTAAATTGCATCTCATCGTCCTTCTTTTCCGGCTCCTTCTTCACCTTCTCTTTGGGCTTTACCAGCTTCTCCATTTCCTGCTCTTGCTCATGTTCTTTCGCCTCGATCTCGCTACGTACCTATGAAATAACATTATGTCAGGGACTTTGAGAAGTAATGCGTTACTTTTAGCGTTAAAAGTTTCCAATAATGGCTTTTTCCCCATCAGTAATGGTAACAATGAGTTATTTCTCAAAAATAACCTTCTTATATCATTTGTCATAAAAATATTTATATTTAGTATAAATTGGAATGAGTTGAAGCATGAAAAATATATTATAAAACAGCTTAAAATTTCATTTTGAAATTCAAATTGTTTAATTAAAAGTTTCTATAATAATGATGGAAATATGTGTGATAAATTGTAAAATCAGTATACTTTTTGTAAAAGAGCATAATCCAGACCCTTGACTAAATGAGTGTGTTCCATGTCACCACCCAAAAACTTGGATTGCTGGATCATCTGCCTTCTGCGCTCCGCAGCATCCATGCCAGACTTTAGGTCTGGCGCAACAGCTCTGTAAGCGCTAGCGCTGTTCATGGGATCTTCAGCTTGATAATCCTGATTAGTGCCATCTCTGCGTTCTCTGGCTCGATCCCTGTACTTTTCTGCTAACTCTGCCATTTTATCCTCTTCCTGTTTTTTCAATTTTGCATAGAAACTCTTCTTTTTCCTACGCAATTCAGCCCGACTACCTCCACTGACTGTGGGGGTTTGGGCAGTCTTTGTGCCAGCATCCCGTGCTGTACCCGGTACAGAAGCTGGAGTAGCTGATGGTACCGATGCCCTTGGAGTCATCAGGAGTTTTCGGAAATCATCGTTTGTTAAACGAACCGACATACCCATCTCTTCTTCTGTTTCTGGCATTTTGACTTTTTATTTCTTTCCTGCCTAGAATGTTAGGTTGGGTTATGATTCTTAAAAACAGTACATATCTGATTTAGAAAACGGCTGCGCTATAAAATATCTTACTTTATTAATTATACAGAGTGCTGTATAAAATAAAAATTTGAGTTCTCTCTCTCTTAGTATGTGATTACAGGTGATCCAAAATGCTCCAACTTCACTTGATTACGGAGAAATAATAAGTTTGCACACGTTCCATCGGGACGGAACAACAAAAGATACAAGTGGTTCAATGACGAACAAAGACCTCACGCGCGCAAAGCAGCCGCTCGACTATTCCCGCGAGACTTAAGTACGTGATATCGAAGGCGGATTTTCAAATAGGTATGTGGAAATGTCGAACAGCACAAATTTACGTCTAATCGAAGAGGAATCAAACGGTCTATTCTTTATAGCTGCGCTACTGAGCCATCATATATGTGATACTGCTATATAGCCAGTCGTCCAATAAGGGAGAGCCGTCGCAGAAGGGAACGACAGACGACATATGTATTTTGACCGTAGTGCGCAAACGCGGCATCAGCTTATGATAAATATATATATATATATATATATACACACAACGCACGTGCTAAAATAAATTTTATTTTTCTATTGGTGGAGACGTCAATCCGGCGGCGCTTGCCGTTCAAAATATATAGAGAAAGAGAGGAAAATGCATATTCCCGCGTCGCAGTTGCGAGACAGGACTTCTCCCTCATTCTGGCTATACAGTAATATCACATATATGGGTGCAATAATGACCACAGGACGCTGAAATGCGGCAAGAAGCGACGCGGCAGCGAATAAACTTTTGATTCTCGTAGAAAGACGACACATTGATTGGCTACCGCGTCGCTTTTTGCCGCACGTTACCTGCTAGTTATAAAACTAGTTACGACTGTCTAGTGGAACGATTTGGGCGTTGTCGGCGGAACTAGCAGTAAGACAAGAAGCGAGATACTAATGTATACTAAGGTACTGTTTCGTGTGCAGCAAGTCGCTTTTCTATGAGATGACGTAAGTATTTCCGACGTAAAATATACTTTACCAGAGATCGTTTGGTTGTTGAACCGGACGAAAACTAAAATACCTATGACCGGTAGTCTTATATTTAAAATCGTCTTAACTCATCTCATCTTCAGATGCCATGCGGCTCATTTCATTGGCTTCCAAACATTTGAGAAGAAATTTAAGAGGATCTTAAGATCCGACTATGGGTACTGGCTTATTATTTTTACGCAGCGTGCAACATAATATTCCATCGATTGAAACGTATGTTAAGGAATATAGGATAAGGGACATTAGGAACGTAAATGATGACCCGCAATTATTGTAACCTTTTAAAACATGGTAAAGCGATGTTAAATAGTTTATTGTAAACGAAAATGTACAATCTGTAATTTTTTCATTATTTTGAAGATAGGTGTAATATATTCTTAAATCGAACGAAGCAAAAACTCGGCGATATATTGAAAATTGAATACACTTATTCCATGAGCAGCAAACGCAGCGGAAACCGGTTCTGAAATGAAATTTGAATCATTGTTGCTGCGTATGAAAGGGCACTTTTAAACACGGCCTTTGTCTCGCGACCTCCTTCTACCATGTTATTTAGTTCGATGTTGGTTGGTCAACTTCCTTATAGCAGACTAGCACGATATGTGACATTCAATGAATGCGCAGCTCTATGCTCATTGGACATCACGTCTCGCGCTGTTCCGCCATAAGTTTCACTACTTACGGCAGTGTTTTAAGTTCGCGCCAAGCTCAGCCTGACGTCATAGACGGAGAGCGCTGCGGAACTGGCGTCGATCCATTCTCGAAAGTTCCGGAAGCTGCTCGATGGCAAGTTCATATATATGGCTTGCACCGTTCCGCGACAGTCAGTACGCGGCTGGAGGTGATTGGATTTGTTCGTGATTATCGACAATATTCCGGCCTGTGCAAGCTCAATTCTTCGTGCGAGTGAAACGTGGTGCTTGAAGAGTGATTAACGGAATAGAACGACAGTGAGTAATGCTGTGCTGATATCAACGATAGCAGCTATGATAGTAATAGCGGAAGAAGACACGTTGAATTTTAACCTCGCTCGTTCAGTACGAAATAATTAACGCGAAATATTGAAACGATCGCGCGCGTATGTTTTTGGATCGTCGCGTTCGGTTACGAGCAATGTAACGACAACAACGCAATGACACAGGGCTCGGTTTCCAAAGGGTGGGGTATTTATTTTTGCGTTGCAGCTTGGAATCGTACGAACATTCGTATTCGCGTATTCGCGGTCATCATTGCCAGAAATAGATATCGATGATATGTACGTGGGTGTGTTGAAGCGAGCGAGAGCGAGAGTCCCAATGCTTTCAACGCGAAAAAAATGGCAGAAAATTCGATGTGATAAATACCGCGTCACGCTCCTCGGAACGCACGCTACGACCGTAAAAAGCGTACGAACAGGAGGGAGGGAAAGAGCGGAACATCCGAGAATGTATCCACACACACACACATACACACACACTTTCCTCCTTCGCGTTCGTGTTCTATAATGTGTGCGAGAATATCATGGCGGAGATGTATATAGCTACTACGTGTGCGAGCGCACGTGATTTATTAGGCGGTGAACTCTCGTTCCAAACTGTCGAATCGAGGTGAATTTAGAGCGGGCGATCGCGCGCGCGTGTGTGACACTGAGACGACTCACTTTCTTTTTTTGATCTACCTTTTAGGCACCGAGATGGGAAAGGACTATTACAAGATACTTGGTATCGCCAAGGGAGCGAGCGACGAGGAGATAAAGAAGGCATATAGGAAGCTAGCCTTGCGATATCATCCTGATAAAAACAGAAGTGCCGGCGCCGAGGAGAAGTTCAAGGAAATAGCCGAGGCGTACGAGGTGCTGTCAGACGCCAAGAAGAGGGAGGTCTACGACAAATTCGGCGAGGAAGGCCTCAAGGGAGGCGCCTCGGCTGGCGGAGGCGGAGGAGGCGCTACGTATACCTTCCACGGTGATCCCAGGGCGACCTTCGCGCAGTTCTTCGGCTCAGCCACTCCGTTCCACAATCTGTTCGAGTTCGCCGGCAACCGGGGATTTGGCTTCCATGACGACGACATGGACATCGATATGGATCCCTTCGGGCTGGGTATGGGCCCACCGCGGCCACCTGGTCAGGGTGGCGCCTTCAGGTCGCACTCGTTTAACTTTGCGAGCCCGAACACCGGCAAAGCGGCTGGGAAGGACCGCGCGCAGGATCCGGCGATCGAGCATGATTTGTATATCAGCTTGGAGGAAATCCTCCGGGGTTGCACGAAGAAGATGAAGATTTGCAGACGGGCGATACAACCGGACGGCAGCACTAAGAAGGAGGACAAGCTGCTGACCATCAACGTGAAGCCAGGCTGGAAGGCTGGCACAAAAATCACCTTTCAGAAGGAGGGGGATCAGTCTCCGAGGAGGGAGCCGGCGGACATTGTCTTTATCATCAGGGACAAGCCGCATCCGCTCTTCAGGAGAGAAGGCAGTGACATTAGATACACGTGTAAATTGAGCTTGAAGCAGGCTTTATGCGGTGCTATTATCGAAGTTCCTACCTTAACCGGCGAGAAGATACCCTTGAATCTGACGAGAGACATCGTCAAGCCGAATACGGTCAAGAGGTTCCAAGGACACGGTCTACCTTTCCCTAAAGAACCGTCGCGGAAGGGCGATCTGCTCGTGTCGTTCGACATCAAATTCCCCGAGACTCTGACGCAAAGCGCCAAGGATATACTGTACGACACGCTACCCAATTGATTTCTCGCATAATCCATCAAATATTGCGAACGGACGATATATCGACACATTCGGACACCTCGAAATCATACCGATCGGCAGGAAGTTTCGTGTACGTTCTAGCACACGAAGACGACGAACGGAAGAAGCGATTCTTCAACATCCTTTGCGTCCGTGCACGTCCGTAGAGGCAAGATTAAACAGGACAGTTCTTTTTATTTCGACATTTTCCCCCTTTCCATGTAAAAATTTGTTTCACTTCCCGCCAATTAAAATTTGATATACACTTTGCCTCTACCTGACGTAACGTCAAGCCGAATAGATGGACTTTGGGGACGAATATATATATATACACACATATTAAATTATACGATTATATATTATATAGAGAGAATCTCTCTTTCTCTCTCTCTGTCTGTCTGCTGTACTACTAATTCATATGACTGTCACGTCAAAATTCACTTCTTTTTCCTCTATTATATGCACGCATATGTACGCGCGCGCGCGAGAGAGAGAAAGAGAGAACAAATTACGAATAGGTGTGCGTATGCCTCGAGGTGTGTATGTGCGTACGTGCATGTGTATGTGTGTGTGTGTGCGTGTGTGTGTCGCGTATGCGTGAAATGTACGAAGACTGTAAGACACGCGTAAGTGCAATATCGGAAAATAAAAGCGTTTCACTTTATTGAAGTTCATGCACGCGCGATACGACGCATGAAGTGAAAAAAATTACGCTAATATACACAGCCCGGAAATGAACAAATGGAGGAAAAGAAAAGAAACGATGAAACGGAAGTTTCGGATATTGCTTTCTCGACGGTCTTGGTACGGGGTCGTGTTCGGTTTTTTTTCTTTTCTCGCACATATAAATCTCTGTAATGAGGAGGAATTCTTGTTTATATTAAGTGTTAAGGCAGAATCACTAGCGCACGCATCGGCGCGATTGTAACACGTTTATAACGTCGAGCCACATGTCCTGTTACGTAACGTGCTCCTAAGTTTAATGGTTGATTAATTATTTGTACGCAAAATAATACGAAGGTTACTAAGTTACACGATACAACACACGCTGCTTCCTTTTTTCTTCTTTCTTTATTGCCCTCGATTCTCCGCAAGCCCCGCTCCTGTACGAATATAATATCGAGACACTCTTAAAATAGGCGGCAAAGTGGGTTGACGTCATCTCCCCCTCTCTCTCGCGCGCGCGGCCTATCTCCCGAGACTTTTTCACACGATTCAAGGAGAGCGCACGTCTACGTCTACTAAAAAATTGTACTCCACCACGCAGTAAAAGCCTGTCAATTAATAATAATTTTATTTTCTTTCCACGAGAGACAACTGGACAATTACGGTCTGTCTAATAACGTGACCGGATAAACTTCTATTTGGAAACTGTTGCATCGAAAAGTTGAGCGATTAGGTAAAAGAACTCTTCCCTTATGACACATTATACAGAGAATTTCAGTTGTTGTTCGACTTGGAACGACGTGTTTAACGCCGGAGTGTAGGATAAATCGAATCGGATCGATATAAGCATTGAGACGGTTCTTAATCTGCAGAAAAGTAGTTTCGATGTAAAGGCCAGGATCCTTCAAGAGGACAACGACCCAAAACATTGGGATCGTCTTTGCTCCCAATAGAAGGAAGAAAATGACGACGAAACATCAGACTGACCATCACAGTTACCACATGTAAATCCAATGGAAAATGTCTGAGCATTAGTGAAAATGAAGTTGAGTAGAAAAAGAACGTACACGATGCAACAGATTCGTTCATACGAGCATTTTTATTTCGAAAGTATGCTGTAAAATTAATGGGAAGTACGTCTCGAAGATGTCAATAATATAATTGACAATGGCAATTAAGTGGATAACTTATCAAGGCTCCGGAGTAATTGCTGTGGCTGTCCTTGTTTAATGACGTTAGAAGCGCATGTCAAGATTTTTTGCGTTATACTTTGAAATAAAAAGATGTATCCACAAAATGACGTTTGTGATCAGTGAACTTGTAAAATTGGACGAACATTTTTCTTTTACTCGAACGATCAAGAAATCGTCGTAAAATTAACAACGACAAAATCATAAGAAAATGACAAGAAGGTTCCATGTCAACTTAATTTTGCGCTCCTGGACTAGTCGTCGTGATATTGAAATCACATCATAGATGAGAAATGACACGTTTATATTTCTTACGTGCCATTTGCAAATAAAGAGATATTCGAATAAAATAACAATTGAGATTGATAGAGTACACTTGTGAAAATGGGGAAGAAACTATCCTTTCTCCTCAATAAATAGTCGTAAGAAACACGTGAAACGAGACTTATTCATACAGGAAAATACATGATTTGAGGAGTGTTGAAAGAAATGAAAAATATGCTCCCACGTAAAGTTCCAAGCTAATCTTACATTTCGCCCATTTGTGCAGGTTTGAAAAGTACGTCACACCTATACACGGAAAAAATCAAATATCAATTCAAAACTTTTATATTCTAATAGACGCAATCATTGTTTCATACATGAGCAAGAATATATTCTTACAAAATTTAATATTCTTGAATTTCAACAATATCATAATGTTATTGCAGGATCACGAAAGGTCCACTACAGATCATAATATTTTGAAAATAATAAATCTTGTTGTAACATTTAAAATAATTGCATGAAAAAAATGAATGTGTTGTTTTGAATAACTCCATATTTGAATGAAATGTACGGTAATCTTCTTCCAACAATATGAACTTTTCATTTCAGAATACAAATCAGGTCTTCTATTTAAGACTGTCTTAGGTTAGATCAATCCGATGATGCTTGAAGCAAGAACAATCATACGAATATGAAGAATAAGCATAACATTGAACATGTGAATCTTACCTTATTCTTCGTCGGGCTTACGCGTATTTAACAAACGCAAATGCGATATAATTTATAAATATAATTCTTCAGTCTTAATTTTCTTGTATTGTAAAGCGTGTGTAACTAATATATTGCTCTATTACTTATCTTTATGCCTACACCTTGTACATGTAATTTAACAGCTGTCAGATCACCTACTGCGCATGATCGTCAATTCATAGCTTCTTAGCTTCGTCGTAATTTTTCCGAAATATAAGAAACAAAAGCTGTTGAAACCGTTCCGTAACTGAGTGTACGTTAACAAATGAAAAGTTTAAAGTTTTCTCTTTAAAACGTCTGCATCACATTTTCGAATCAAATCATTTTTCGCTCTAAAAACTCGACTGAAAGCCGAACGAGCGGTTTGAAATTGAGCGGTCGCCATTTTTCGTTTAACTCGAAATATCTTAACAAAAATTAATGACAACATTAACATAGCTAATGTGGTTAAAAGACTTGAAGCCTTAAAGTGCTCCTTAAACGGGTTACAGCCTGTTGAATTTCGTCTCTGTTTTATTACAATGGAAAGCACGTCTGACTAGCTCTTGAGTCATACTACTTGAGAAATAGAAGTACGGCCGACTCCATCGTTTAGTCATATCACGACATCAGCTTCTCGTTCAGCATTGTGGCGACTCGTAGCGGAGATTCTAGAACTAAATGACAGAACCGTTACATTAATAACATACCCATTAGAGAAACAACGGGTTTATTAGACCCGTTATTTTCCTGAAATTTAGTTGCGGAATCCCCGCTACGAATCGCCATTATATTCAACGAGAAGCTGAGATCGTGATATGAATGAGCGATGAAGCATTTCATTTTCTATTTCTCAAGTAAAGGGCTGGTCAGATGTACTTTCCATTGTGATAAAACATAGGCGAAATTCAACAAGCTGTAACTTTCGCAATAATGATGCTACCGGGATCGTTCGAGAAGCACTTTAAGGCAAAAACAATAATACCATCGGATTGATACGTATTTTTTTCGTTATTTCCTCTCGAGTTTCTTTGATAATAATTTTGCAGCAAGCCTTTTATAAACCAACCTTCTTCTCGGGATTGTTTTTGAAATTGCTGCGGATTTACGCGTTTTTAACATGCGAAAATATAATTCTAATAATTCAGTCTGAATTTTCTTGCGTTAAAACGTGTGTAACTGATATATCGTTCCGTTACTCGTATAAATGTATCATTAATAAATTAGACAGGCTATAGTTATTAAAGCAACTCACCGGTGCGGCTGTTCCCTACAAAAGTCGATTCGGTCTTATTTTAATATCCGATACGGGGATATATTACAAGGATAACATCACGCGGGCAGCTCGATGTAATCGATCCACTCGTCAGACAGTGAAGAAGCGTTGTCGCGCGAGGCGAGCCGATCGGAACGGTTCTCTCGGCGCTGCCAGCCGCTCTTCCCAAATGCGAAGTCTTCCGGCAGGCAGTGATGCTGCCGGCAGTAGTAATCTCGGCCTTCTTCGGCGTGACACCACGTGCCGTCCGGGAAGTACGGATCGAGGCCGAAATCGTTCAGTTCGGCGCGCGGCGCGTAGTACGCGGCGATGTCTCTTCGCCGGCAGAATACAGCACAGGCCATCCAAGGCTTGTCGGGCTCGTGGCTCGCCTGCAGCCCCTTCGCCGTGCCGTCCAGCTCGGCCAGGCTGTCGCTGAAGATGCCACATTTCAGGGTGGCGAACTCACCGGCCGTGTGGCGTTTCTTCTTGCAGAGCTTCTCGTCCTTGCACAACAGCACATCGCGATGCGGGCCTTTGCAGCTGCCGGTGCGGTATTCGCAGACTCGTTGCCGGACGCGAGTACCCTTGGACCTTTGCAAGCAGCCGCTGGTGCAAGGGCCCTCTTCCCATTCGCTCCAGCTTCCATCCTTCCGCACGCGGACGCATTCCCCGCCGCGACACTCTCTGCCAGCCGCGCAATGAGTTCCTGTTGTGAGAGGAAAAGCGATGTTAGACGATCGATAAACAATGCGACTCGCAGGAGAGTCGTCATCGATTTTGCAGATGTATCTCCCGCGAGCGCACTACAGACGTGGTTTGAGATCGAAAGAGAGACACCGTCCAGCGCCGGTCCGGCGAAGTAGTAGCCGCTTCTGCGGGGAGTCCCGCATTGCAAAGACTGACACGCCTGATGCAACGTCACCACGTTCGCGTCCTTGTCGCGTAGGAGCAGTTCGCATTGTCTCTTGGCCGTCCATTCCCGTCCAGGCAGGTCGCGATATCGCGAATGATCGAAAGACGATACCGAGGCGTCCAAGAGGCAGACTTTCGTGCGCGGGAGGGCTTCGGCTATCTCGCGACTACATTCCGACCAGATCGTTTCGCCTCGGGTGCCCCTGCTGGGTGACATTATGTATCCGTCCTTGGGACACGCGTTGCCACTCGAATCGTGATGCATTCCTAGGCTTTCGAACAAACATCGTCTCTGCGTGATATATATATATATATATATAGTGGAGAGGTACGTGATGATTTGCACGCTTTTTCGAAAAGTATTCACTTCCCTTTCTCTGTTTCGCGGAAGTATACCAGGGAAAAATAACGCGTTCGATTCTGTCCGTCAGAGTAACTTACTTATGACCGATCTCGTGGGCGGCGATGTACACCGACGAGAAGCCCGCGGATGGATACGGCTTGCCGAGCTGATCCGTCACCCCCAATTCGGTGATGACGCAGGAGTAACGCGAGAGACAGAGGCCGCCGACCGTGGCCAGACCCATGGTGGCGTCGTTCCGTCTGCCGTTCTCGATCACGTAAAGATCCAAGCCGGTCACGTAAAGGCCCATGTCCCAGTGGTGCGGATGGGCGTCTTCCGGGGGATTGCGGGCCATCGCGTAATTGCAAAACGAGTCCAACAGGCTGGCCCTCTCGCCGCCAAAATCCGGCAGGTCGGCCGGCTGCCTCTGAATGATGTCCAAGCGTACCAGGGAGACGTCGATGGCGACACCGAGACTCGGGTGGTGGTACAATGCTTGGATACCGTTCACGTATGCCAGCAGCATGTCGCGGATCTTCCTGTCGTCCTCATCCAGAAAAGGTGAGAACAAACGGTACGCAGCCTCGTCGAAGAAGACCGCAAGCTCCAACGTTAACCCGCCGCCCTCCGTAGCTGCTCGTGCGAAGCGTTGCTCCTCGATGCGATGTTTCAGTGACCGCTTGACCAGGTGGGGCTCACCCAGGAGATCGATCTTTTCTTCTTTGACGTAAAGATCGTCGATGAGTAAGGGCGACGAGGCGAGGCTGTTCGGCAACGGCGTGATCTCCAGTGTCATGTTCTCCAAAAAGATGAGCCCGTGCTACCCCCAACAGAGACACGTTTGTAGCTTTCCGTACGTGGTATGATGAAAAGAAAACGCGACTCATTAAGCAAAATGTTGAAGAAAATCGGCCGGCAGATTCGCGAGTCATCTGCGTATGATGGCACACTTGCAAGAATGTCCTTTCTAATGCGAACGATCAGTGAAAGAGATGATAGGTTGAAAACGTTTCATTGTTCAGGCAGTTAAAGGAAAACGTCCGGATAAATGATATTTTATGCACTTTTACGTAATATATTTCGACGATTGTCATCAAACAACATAGGAGCCGAAGCTTGCGTTCGCTATAAATTTTTCTCGGCAGCTTGCTAGCAAACGTTGGAAAGAAATGATTACTGACCATTCCACGTTCCTGACAGAAGCTCACTGCTGCGGAGCCGACGTGATCGCTGTGAAGATAATAACAAGGATCCGGTGCGCTCAACAGCGACAACTCCTCCATCACACCTTTCGTATTGTGCTTCCAGATTTGAAAGTCGGACGCTGTGATCTTGTCGTTTCTGCGCAGGATCAACCGGATCAATTGTCCGAATACTTTGAATGTGAACGGAATCTGCAAGTGACAGACACGATTGAGTCGCGTGTATTGTTTGGATTTCATGAAAAAGTTCATACCTCCGGTGCACCTTTCAAATCCCATATCGGCAGCGTGTTACGCGTCTCGCTCAATAAAACTAGCAACAGCAGTCTCAATAGAAAGGACATGCTCACACGCTTCAAGTTCAAGTACTTGAAAAAGTATAATATTTTAACGTCTCTCTTTATATATTTAAATACATATACACATACGTTTATAAAACCCGCATGTTCGTTATCGTTTCGGAAATTTGTGTACAAAATGCATACTGGCACCTGTATGTTTCAAGACACCCGGGATTGTGTCAACGACATCTCGTGCATGCCTTCTTTCCGCTATGTGTTTCCTTTCTCTCGACATTGATCAATTACGGTATCGCGACGACGTATTGTAATAACTTCAGAAAAGACTGATGGTATATATCATCGCTGATATGTGTAATATGTAGCGATAACAATACGTAGTTGACTTTAATTGACAACAATTCGAATTCTTAGATCCTAAGATTAAGATCGGTATCAAATTTGTCATTTATTGTACGATTGATGCGAATCACCTCAATTCTTGCCTCGGTGAAGGAAATTGCGACGATTACTACGCTTGAGAGTATTCGCACTCATTTCTTTATCGGGAATACCGCTAGAAAAAACTGTTAGATGCGGGAAGGTGGAAATAATAGAGAAAAACTTTACTTGTTACAAATAGTAATAGTATTAAAATATTTTAATAAAAACAATAAATAATAGTTGCGATCAATAAAATTAATAATTAATAGAAGATTCGGCAGTGTGTCCGACATGCTTGGCAGAGGGCTATATCGTTACAACTATAAAGACCCACAGGAGATTATTAAATAATGATCGATAACTAATTCTCTCAAGATCTCCCAAATCACGAAGTGTCCATCGTCCTTCCCTATTCGCGCGCGTGTGTACATACATACATACATACATACATATATATGTATATGTATGTACACATATATGTACGTGTGTGTATGTGTGTGACAATAGGAGAAAACGTAATGAAGGGAGCTTTATACAATCAATGTCGCATCGGCATATGCCGTCGGATAAATTGTCAATTCGAAATACTATTACTTGATTACTCTACTCGTCTCTCGCAGCACCCACACGTGGTGCCCAATACGGGTGCACCACTCGAAACTATGTAAACTCACTCGCAAGTACCATTCTTTGGATATTTCACGTATATAATTGTACAACGACGTGTGTAGATGCGCGTGCAAAAAAACAAATTTTCACTTCTTTCCCGCCAAGTGACTATTTCATCGCTGTTATAATAATTCTATGAGCCACAGTGAACACTTAGGTATACATCTTCCAGTGATTATGGAAGATTTAGCCGCATATAAAATTTGCAGCAAATATTTGCTACGAACACACAGAGGTTTTGCTGGCTTGCTCTTGTTTTCCTCTTTTCTTACCCGATGCTAATCGATTTCGATCAGTCTATCGTAATGAGCGCCTGTAACGCACGCATGATACAATGTTTCCCTAGCATGCTTCTCTAACGTGTCTAATATGCAATAATTATGTGTGTCATGTATACTTGCGTATGAATATGTGCGTAAACAGGCGCAAATTACAAAATTCTTTTACACATTATATACAAATACGTGACATGTCAATGACTCGATAGTATCGTGTGACTGTGTTAAAAAGAGACCAAATTGTGATAATAATTATTTACAAAACCTTACCGAAATAAGACTCCGACTACTGATATTAAGTTAAAATACTACGAATCGAAGAATAATGTCTGGTAAATTTGTGTAAAGACCTTTAAATTCCTCTTAATACACGCATATATTGCTAATAAGTTTACGATCTCATTCCGTCAAGCCCATTTCGAACAATATTAACGAGAATTCGGGACGGAATTTCACTTGTACGAGAGCGCTTAAATACTAAGATTTATAGACAGGTACATCTATAAATCTCCAATTGTTTTCCAAGTTTACAAAATCTACAAAATTTTGCAAACATTATAAAATTACAAGCAAAATTCTGTTCCGTTTTCCATAAGGTATTATAGGTCGTCCGAAGTGCGCCTTAGCCTCATATCCCTCCGTCTCTCTCTCTCTCTCTCTCTCTCTCTCTCTCTCTCTCTCTCTGTGAATATATCGTGCAACAAAACAAATTTTGCACGCACTTTTTTCGGTATTAATACGGTTCTCCCGTATGTGTATTATCGTGTCGTACGATTAAAGACTTGCCTGTAATTTAACACGATACAAGAGAAATAACGAAACACAAATAAATTATAAATGTACAATCGAAAACAAGGGTTCCCCCTTATACACGGGTAGGGGGGAGGGGGGAGGGGGAAAGCAGATATTCCACGTTTCTCCAACGCGGACAAGAAAAACTATCTTACGCACAGTAAAGATAGAGTTAGGATTGCTCGTCGTTCGAAGGCCATTGTCCCGAATGATGATTCCAATCCCAATCTTTGCCTTTAGGACGAAACTTGCTAGTGCTCGCGGCATTATTCCAATCGCGGTGAAAAAACTTCTTCTTAAAGTGATGTCGCTCAGGATCCGGCTGTCGTTGGTATTTCAGAGGTACCGAAGAGGTGGACGCGCTGTTCGAAGGATTGGATGGATTCAGAGGACGGGGACTGGTCGGAGAGGGTGTTCTCGGGGGCCCTATCGCTTCGTCCGGAGACGGTACTACCGGCGGCGGTCCCGTTACCGCGCTGTCTGAGCCTAATCCACTGTCGGGACTTGTGTTCACTCCTTCGGTCGATCGTCTGCGTTTATCCAATTCTGTTGATGCAAACGCGACCAAACGATCGAATCCCGAACTGATGCGATCTTGCCAATCGGCTTCTCCGTCTGCAAAATAAGTCTCATTTATCACTATTGTGATGTATGGTACACAACGAGGCATCAGGCAAGCGATATGTAATGTCACGGCAAATTTTCATAAAAATAAGCCATTAACCCCCGTATGATACATATTTAATCATTACGTGTCCCCTCTCTCTCTCTCTCTCTCTCTCTTTCTCTCTCTCATGAGTCGTTACGTTGCCTATCTAAATCTATACACGTGTCTGACAAGTCACGCGACTCACCTTGCACAGCAATATGTACAAATGTATATTATTCTGAGAAACTCCGCGGTAATATATTGCAAGTAAGGGTGCAAAATACTATTGAAGAAAGAGTATGCAGGTAAGTGAAAATTAGCTTTATTCAGCATCGCAATGAGGAATATTAATCTAAAAGAGTTTCTCAGTCGCGCTGCTATATCGATTTCTTTTAGCATGCTGAAACAATATGTACCAACATAAGTAATTTCTTCTATAGCAGCAGCCCGAATCGGAGAGTGGACGGATGCTACGTTAAAAATGAATAGAAATTCGTCATGCAACATGCATTAGAGGGAAAACCCAGCGATTAGAATATATCCTTCTTTTATTCACACAACATGCGCCTATGCGTACGTAATAATTCATCCGAAAATCTTGTATCCTTACGCGAGTCTGGCTTATTTTCATGGAAACTGACTTCTAATCGGCCTTTTCACGTATCTTTCGTAAGGGGACGTATGCTGCCCGCGCGCGTACGTAGCAAACAATATATTCTGATCTTTGCGGATAGAATTCGAATAGCGAAGTATTGAATTTTGATCAACTCCCGTGAGATAACTCACCGGCGACTAATTGTATTGACGAACCAACCCACAGGCAGCCGTATTTTTTCATTTCTCCCTCTGATCTGTGTGTCTCAATCTCTAACAAAACAAGCTTCAGGGAGTTCTCTGAGCGAGATCGAGTATGTGACAGACAGAGCTAACCAACAAACAGCTACAGTGCATCTAACAAATACAGCAAACAACAACAAAAATAAATATAAATAAATAAAGGTACCACCTCCGTAAAAGATAAGCTATTAGTGTGCATATAAATATATAGTGAGATGCATAGTGGATAGTGATACAACGGTAATCTAAGAGGCAAAGTGGTGTGCTTAGCGTTGTATAACTATTTGGAGAAAATTTCCTATGATATCTCTTTCTTCGATGGTCTGTCAACAGTAAATATTTTACGTTCTTCATTATGCATAGCTGATAAAAAGAAACGAATGCTGCTGTATGCAGGCAACGCAAACGAGGAAAGATATTCTCACGGAAGATGCATCGAAACATCTTGCTTCTTAGACTTACTTATTTAACTCGGCTTTAATTTAAAGCGCGAATGACGGGCTGTCTGACGCCAACCATCACGTAGTTTATCATTGTGAAGAAAAAAAAGTCTCCCACCATTTTGCACAATATTACAAAGGCGTCTTAATAAGTAAAAAAAATTCGCTTGTTATTGGATGCAGGACATTTTTGTTTTCTGTAGAGTGGCCTAATCTACAAAAGTAGATTAGCTAGTTATACGACAGGCGCTAGTAGTACAACAGCTGTCACATAGATCTTGCAGATCAGGCCGCTCTGAACAAAAATGTCCATTTTGCAAATAAATTGTTGAGTTATTAATTAAAGAAGCTCCCTACTCTGTATGGCCATTTTTACTAATTAACAACTCGAAATTTTGCGTGTTGCAAATGGTAGAGAATCTTTCTTATTCACCTAAACTTCAAGTATGTGATGATTGTCAAACATCCTGTACGTAGGCAATCCAGAGTCAGCTAATAACTGGTTAATCGAAATTAATAATGTTTAATATGGTTAATTTTAACCATAGTCTAACCAGTTACATTAAAATGCATCAACATTAACCTTTTTTTCCTTTTTATACAAGTCGATATAATTCATCGATATCGATAAAATCGTTGGACCACGTATAAAATGAGAAAAAATAATGCCAGCAAAATTCGCTTTTATCTCTTGAACATTCCTTTTTTTGTATAGAATCCTCAAACAGTCGATGTTTCCTTTAATAGACTACTTCTTTTATTACCTAATCTACGATTAATAACGATGCGAAAACAACTTTGCACGATTAACTTTATCATATTTTAACACAACTTTGAAGTTAGCTTTTGTTTTATACATTAATTTTTCATTGAACTCGGTTAAAAGTAAAAATTGCCTCCAACCCTGGGGGGCAGATCTATATAAACTCGAGACACAGTAACTATCTCAAACATCGTACGGCTACTATACAAAAGCATATTCGATCATTCCAAAGCGTACGACTAATATATTCCGTATAACGGTGGTCATTCCACTCACCGTCGTCAGCCATAGGATTTCGTTGCTTCCGCGTCGTCATCTGAGGCTCATCGACTAGCGGTGTCGACATATTAGAATGTGGTTCCACGAGGGGACTTAGGGATGCTCCGCTTACCGACGATACAACCGCTTCCGTTTTTATTGATACAGAAGCTTGCGACTGGCAAATCGCCGTGATCGCCGTGCCGCTAGTCGCGGCGCTACTATTGCTTGTGTATCGTGAGTACGGTTGAAATCTAGAACTGCACAAGCCGAGGTTTTAGAATATCGGCCAAAGTCGAGATTTGATCAACGTCACTACCTTCTGCTGTTGTTGGAAAGGTCGGCTTTGCCGTTCGAGTTGTTCAATATTCGAGCGTGTAACGAGGCCGCGAGACCTTCCACGGCTAACAATTCTCCGTTTAACGTGCTCTGAGACGAATGCAGAGACGATGTTGCGGGATGAGATTGCGAGAGATTGTCGCTCGTAAAGTATGACTCGTGATAAGGCTTGATATCCGCTCGCGGCAACTGGACCGGCGTGTATCTGGAGGGAAAGAAACGGTCTGAGCGTCGCTCCACGCGCAGGTAGAAACGAGCGTACCTCTGCGGTTGCGTCACCGGGGTGAAGAGCACGGATGATCTCGAAGTGGTCGTCGGGGTGGAGGAGATCGGTACGTAACTGGCTACATGGGCTAAAGTCGACAAGCCAGCGTCTCCCTCGGCGCTGGCCGGCCTACTGATGGGCGAGTACACGGTCTCGGGTCTCATCATCGCGCTCATGTCCACGGTGGCGTTTATTATCGACTGATTCGATATCTCCAAGGTCCTCTCGATCTCGCCGTTTACCAGCTCGCCGATCGTTCTAGCACCGAGCAATCCATTCCCACCTACGACAAGGCGATTGTCATGACTCGACGATTGTCTAGAATCGACCGTCGATCTGTCGGATGTCAAGTGGGACGATGAGGAGAGGCGTTCTTGCGATAGATGACGGCGAAGGGCTAGTTTCGCGGGTGAGACCTGCAACACGAGCGGTGATACGTTACAAATCTGTGCCCTGCTTTTATGCCGGCGTTTTCGCGCGCTCACTTGGGTATAGTCCGGAGTGGTGACGTTCTGCAGTAACGTGAGGCGTTTCCTTTCGGGCTCGCACTGATTCTGCAGCTGCAACTGCAGCTGCTTATTTCGGTTCTGCTGATCCTCGTTCAGCACGCTCGTGATGATGCTTTTCAATCTGTCCTCGAAATTAGCCACCCGGGGTGGCTCTTGAGTCCTACTTGTCGGGTCTTTAGGGGTGGCCACCTGCTGCGATTGCGTGAACGAAACGGACGATGACGTGGTGGAGAAACTGAGCGACGCCTGCGGCAGTCTTGTCCTGGAATTATTGTTAACATTCGGTCTATTCGGTATACGGCCCGCCTCGATCTGCCTCCCGGTTTCCAAGATCTTTTGCGCCAATATTTCCGGATTATTCTCTTGTATCTTGCCAATGTCCGGGACATCGGGCCAGTCCTGCGACCTCGAACGGCCCTCTCTGTTTTTACGCGTCGCTCCGTTCTTGCCGGCCTGCGACTGATGATTGAAATTCTGTTTACTCCCCGCTACATCCCTCTGCTGTTGAGCCATGGCGGCTGCTTGCTTCTCGTTGCTTGTCCTCTCCAATACATTCAGCTCGTGCTCAAGTTTCGAAACCTATATGAAACACTCTTACTTTTTCCACCACTTTCATTGCGAGACAACGGTAAAGAGAAATGCATACTTGAGAGTGCAGCCGTTTGCGCTGGGACAAAGTGACGGAAATCTCCTTCAATATGTAATCCTGTGTGAGCGTTTGGGACAGATTCGATATGCCGTTAGCTTGACTGGTGTATTTATCCTGCAGCTCCTGATGCCTGAGCGCCACCAGCCTGTTCTGTTCGGTTTCCATGGACGCCACTTGCGCTTGCAATTTGCTCGCTTTAGCTTGCAGCTGCTTATGCCGCAGGACTATCTCCTTGGCTTTCGCCAGCAGATCCCCGGGTGATGTAGCATTGATACCTAATTCAGTCATTCTCGCCTTTAGGAGAGCTACACTGTCGTCTATGAGAACTTTGATTTGTTTCTCCAACTGCGCCGCTCTCGACTGAAGCTTCGAATTTCTTTCTCTCTCCTTCGAGATATCCGCATTGACGGATACTCGGTAACTAGGAGTCCTCATCGATTCTAACATAAGCATGAATTGGTCCCTGTGGAAGTGTTATGACACGAATGAGAAATGAGTGATACGCAACGCACTAATAATACGGAGGAGAGAATGGTTGCATTCAGTACCAAAATCAGTGAGCGGCTGTTCGTTTTCGGATGTATTGCTTCGAAGAATCGCGTTATCTAACGCAAGAGCTATTAACATGTTTGAAGACGCTCACTGAATTTAGTTAGTTATTCGTGAGCGCTCATCAGCGTGTATACTTTCCTAGACGAAAAGCTACATAATTTTGCTTTAGGATCACAGAAATAACTCTAGTTATAAGTGGGATTATGTATAATTGCTCCAATAATTTCGATTTTACGTGTATATTTTTAAAAGGCTAAAAATCATATAAAAAGTTTCGATTCAGGTAATGACACACGATGCCAACTGGACGTATAACTATTAAGAAAATATTCTTATTATTCGCGAAAGAAATCGCACTAAAATATAAAAATATCTTGCTTTTTTCATCCCTGTATGCAACTGAATAGGCTTCCGAAAAACCTTTTCAAGCTGTCCGAAGGACATATATTAAAAAAAAAAAAAAAAAAAAAAGAGATAGAGCGTCTTTTCTCTAAGATTTCCTTTCAAAGTTTGCGCTGTTTAGGGAGATAAGTGACCGAGATATAATTGCGCTCGCAAAAAAATGGCAACCGCTCACTGTGAACAGCTCGTATCTAGTATACAAGATATTTACTGAGCGTATACGGTACTGAGAATGCACGCAATATATATCAAGAAACAATTACTAGATGTACCTGTACATGTCCAAAAGAATTTGTAAAGCATATGGAGTCGCGGACGGAGCAGGCGGTATACTAAGTTCCTCGTGCACGGAGGTGGAATGCGACTGCAACGAAAGCGACAACGAAGAGAGTTGTTGATCTACGCAACCGGGTGCAGGCGGAGGCTTCTTCCCGAGAGCTTGAGGTGACGTACTGAGTAAAGTTTGACTGTGTAACAAGTCTAATCCAGATATATTGATCGCCTTCTTAGGTTTAGCTCTCTTGACGCCTCGTCCTCTTTGTCTACCTCTAGCTGGAGCCTTCGTAATGCCATTACTTTTTCTATTGAGCTTCCTCCGTATTTTATTCGGCTGCCGACGATTTTTCATCGCATTGTCATCCAGATCGGAGTCGCTATTTGTTCCATGTTGCTCCGAATGATTCGGGCTATCTAATTGCCTCGAAAGGTCTCTTTTGGCTCTGTCACTTCTTTCGTTCCTATTAGAAACCTTACTACTATTGCTGGCAGTGTTGCTTATCACAGAATCAGAGTTTTCATCTAAGCCACCTTGTTTATTGTTCTTCATGCGGTGGAAGTAACGTTCTAATTTAGTTCGATCAATAACGTGCAAATAATAAGACACTGGCTTACCAGTCCAAGAGACGGAACCTTTCAACGGCGACATCTCGGACACATGCATTATTGTGCCAATATCTGTCAGTAAAGACATCGAAATTATTATCATGGTGGATATTTGGAATCTTTCGCCGGTAATCACGGTCAGATCTTGTATTTAGGATCGTCTCTCTCATCTTCAGATACTTCTTGGCCAATGATAGGATTTCTGTAGCATCTGAAGATAAACTTGAGGCGGTCTTAAATACAAAATATGAGCCACCGGCTATTGTGAAAACAAAAAAAAAAAAAATTCATCACAAATATATTACCACTGAGATTTCTATCCGTTATTCGAAAGTTCAACGGACAGAATGATTTTGATGATACTATACGCGCACCATCTCGTAAATCGGCGAAGCGTAATTTCAACTGATGGTCAACCGTTGGGCCGAACGCAAAATTATTAACAAATACTATCGTAGCTCCGGTAATGCTTTCGCGATGTTCGTCTGCTAAAAAGTCCCCTTTCACCAAACGGTACTCGCCACAGCGTTTCCCGTACCAATTTAACCATTTTCGAAAGTTTACTTCCATACTCTGCGGAGGCACAATGATTCATTTATACATCATCATTTGATTATTCTTATATATACGGTATGTACCTGCGCATATTTCGACGGTACATCGGCCCTCTCTACACCGATGCAGATTTTGCATAAGGTTGCAGCTGCCATTTGAAGAACCACCTGACCTACTCCAGAGCCCAGATCGACAAAGACATCGTTCTCCGTCACATTGACCTGATCGATCATTTGGCACACGAGTTCGTAACTTGTTTCTCCGTAAACCTCAGGTGAAAAAGGCTCGTATTGATTCAACTTATCTGGTTCGACCACAGCTTGATTATATGTTTGCTGCAATATATGACGAAGTAAACCCCTACTAGGTCTCTTATTTAGTCTCTGGGATGGTAGACTAGTGCCTTTCTCCTATGGATGTCCAACAAACCATTTAGAAATATATATGTGACCGAGTATTCTGTGTGCCCATTTAGTATCGATTCATTTTTATATAAACGACAAACATACCAATTGTACTAAACTATCGATCGCTCTGTTGAATCTGTCGCATAAGTTTTTCATACTTTCATAATCTCTGGTATCGTAGTCACAAAGAATATTATTTTCTAAAGGTAATTGCAGGTCTGGCAAATCTTCGCAAACCCATCGCATGGTTTCGACAACATCCAGTGCTCCATCGTGACGGTCCTATGAAACATACAATATATATTAGGGTGATCTTATCTTCCAAAGCGACAATGTCTCGCAAAGCATCGACAGATCATCGATCTCAACGCCGATAGTCGCAACCGTAAATCACCGACTGGAATAAACAAGCATTTCATCGGAACCGCTGATAATTCGACTTATCCGATCGTCACGTGAGATCACTCGCGCCCGATCAGCTGTCTCACTTGTGGCTACGTTGTCCTCCCCCCTCCCTCTTGGAAAAAGAAAAAAGTCTACTCACAGATCCCGATCCGGAAGTAAGTGGCCACTGATACACGATCGGTTCGGCTCCCGCTGGCGAGTGTAGACGCAGCTCCATTTTCTTCCTCGTGTTCCACAGGCGAGAGAAGGAGCGGACATACGCGCGCACGCACGCACGCACGAATGCACGTACGCACGTACGCACGTACGTACGCACGCTAGAGCAAGACGCTCTCTCTTTCTTCCCGCACGGATCCGAGGGACCCGCTAAACCTCAGGGTGACGTGATGTAACGTCGACCGAGTGACTCGCCGTCCGTTCGGAGGAGCAGCCAGGCAAGCCAATAACAAGAAAGAGGCAGTGCTAACTCAAAACAACGATGATTATCACGTCGACGGTCACCACGTAGATGACGCTCACGAACCCCCCCCGCACCGCGGTCGCACCACTTCCTCGGACATGAAAAAGCGCCCACGTTCAGCAGAGCTACGAGGTGGCCGTGGGTTATCCAGCTTCGCGGCCTGCATGCGATCTACGTGCTACGGGGAGGGTACCGGATGACTCAACGAGCCACGAATCACCAGGAATGCGCTGAACGCACTGTTACGGGGGAACACTCACTACAAAACACAGACTATTGTGCTGCACTTGGCGCACGGGGGGGATGACGACACCAAAACATGGCGAACATGGCGTATGTACGTCATACCTCTTCCCTCTGACGTGCATACCCGCGCGGCAGCACACGCGAATGACCTGAACTTTTTGCGGAAACACAACGGCGGATCCCCATGCGTCCAGTCGTGTCCAATAGTAGAGGGTCCTCTTCTTAGTGTGACGGAAATGCTCCGGTAGGTGATTGGCTAATTTGATATGAAATTTTCGGATTGGGGCTTCAGCGGAAAGACTCTAGGCCGATGTGAATGGATGTGTTACCATCGCAAGACCGTGCTTTAAGTACCGGTCTATTATTATCAGAAATTGACCAATCACAGTTAATTATTCTCTTCACATTCGACTGTGATTTGTTAATGAGGTTTAAAATATCTATTATAGACCAAGATTTAATCAGACTACGGATTGAGATTGAATTGAATTTGGCCAATCAGTTAAGTGAATTCAAGTTTAGTGAACTTTTGCACTGATTCGACAATTCAATCCGTCTCATACGGGACTCTCCGCTCATCTTGACTACGGGCAAAGCTTAACTGCAGACAGTCGGCTTCTTCGATGTCAGTGGCTATCAGCCATGTTGCGGGTTATACATTCGTTAACAAATACGTAAAAAGTTTTCTCTTTAAAATGCCTCTATCATATTTTCGAATCAAATAATATTTTGCTCTGAAAAGACAAAGACGAAGTTTAAAATTGAGCGGTCGCCATTTTTCGCTTAACTCGAAATATCTTGACGAAAATGAACGATAACATTAATATAGCTGATGTGCTTAAAAACTAGAGACTTCAAGCTTCAAGGTGCTTTTCGAACGATCTCGATAGCATCATTATTGCGAAAGTTACAGCCTGTTGAATTTCGCCTATGTTTTATTAAAATTAAAAGTATGACTGATCAGCTCTTGAGTCATACTACTTGAAAAAATAGAAGTACGTCTGACTCCATCGTTTAGTCGTATCACGACCTCGATTCCTCGTTAAGTATAGTGGCGGCTCGTAGCGGAGGTCCTGAAACTAAATTTCAGAAATAACGTTTACGGAAATATTAGACCCGTTATTTCTGAAATTTAGTTCCAGGACCTCCGCTATGGGCCGCCACTATATTTAACGAGGAATTGAGGTCGTGATATAGGTCGGATAGGCTTAAATCCTAGACCATGTACACACTTTTTGTATGCCATTTATTTTCAATAAAAAAAAGAAAAAAATGAGGTCGTGATCTTTGGCCAGCCAATTCCGAGTGCTAATTCTGTATTCACGCGCAATTTCAGAGAGACGCAATACATTCAATGACGCACTTCTATTTTCATCCTGAGCGTAGAATAAAACGAAGGAGGACGGCATAGTTTTCCACGCATTCCTCGCGGTGTTAACGACAAATTAATTGATGTCATGGAAATAAGAATTATATCTAAATTTTTTAATAAGATAGAACATCTAATAATGTCCGACTTTGTCGGTGTTTTCCTACGAATTTATCGGTACTCCTCCAAGAGTTTTCTCCGACGAACGCCGGAGAGCAAACGCGTTCGTCGCACTTCGTTTCGTACGAAAATCGCACGAAGAAAAATGTTTTGCTCACACAGCAAATTGTCATTATAACGACAGCAAAAAGATTTATTAAGAATATCAATTGCTAATTATGTCAACTAAATTTAATTGCTATCGCAACGACTTTTTAATGCAACAGCGAAATGATGTTTCCCGCGTGACGAATCTTTCTGCTGTCATTATAACGGGTAATTTGCTGTACCGGCGAACCATTTTTCTCCGTGCGGTTTCACTTTGGGTCCCTTGTGTAAGAGAAGTGTTTTCCCCACATTTTTTTCCATCATTCTTACCTTCCACCTATCGAAGGCGCGTTCGATCGCCTGCAGAGGTTCGTTGGAGAAAGAAACGCAATAAGCGGCACAACGTAATTCCCGTGGAGAAAATTGATCGCTGACTGTATTTGTTTCTATACAATTAAGCTCTGTCTATATATACGATCGATGCTGATACACTGGCGTACATAATGAAGCTCCGTCGATATAAGCTCCAATTCCAAGGGAAGTCAATCTCTCCTCGTGGTGAAACCACGATAAATCGGTTTTGTTATTGAAATTCGATTAACACGGCCGACAATCGAATGTCTTCTTCCTTTTCTTTTCTCCCTTTCCTTTTTAATGCACTATGCAAGGCGAATGTGACTTGCAACGCGGTCGTAAACTCGCGCGAATAATCGATAATAATTCTGTCGAGACGCGAGTCTCGATCCGCGAAGCTCACCGGAGGATTCGGTGGTTGCGGCGAAACGAGAACACACCCTGCAGAGAATAGTTCCATTAGAATCGACAGGACTCCGACGTTTCGTTCTCGAAATTATCCCGATATCAGCTTTGAGATCGCAGATCTGTTTGCGCGCGTTTTCGCGACCGCACGAGAAAACCGTCCCTTCGATTCGTCGTGGTTCATCGATGTGTCTTTTCCCCCCCCCCCCTTTTTTTTCGTTTTTCTTCTAAAGGACTGTGGTGGCGGTAGTGGTGGAATTGCACTGGGATGAGAAAACTAGCCGAGTCGTATTCTTCGTCTCCCGGTCGAGCGAGATCGCGATAAGCGCGACCGACAACTACCAAATTGGTCCTCCGAATTGTTTGTCAATGATTTGTACACGTGTTGCAAATTATAGATTTACTCCACTGCTCATTTTCTTTTTCTCGTTTCTCTCTTCTTCAACCTCGTCCGCTCGCTCTCGCGCATACACGCGCGCGATTTGCGCAATGATTCCACTTCGCAACAATTATTAGCTTTCTCTCATTTTTTTTTTAAATATATATATATATATGTCTATATCGTTTACATTTGTCGCTACGTCCGATTTCTCATTGCAAGTTATTTCCCGAAATATTGCGCGCACACACACACATACACACACACACATATTCTTTCTCTCTCTTTCGTTGCGCGCTCGCTCCCATCTCTCATTAGCACACACTTGCGCGCACACACGCATACGGACGTTCTCTCTCTCTCTCGGGATCATTAACGGATTGTGCACATATACACGTACAATTAACATATACGACGTAGCGGTCGTTGAGAACATCCATGATTGACTTCTGCTACAATTATACAGCTTATTTAGAGTACAACTGTCCGTTACAAATGGTCAACGTGTCGTCTGCGCGGTATAAGTTTCTCATTCATCTTTTCTCTCCACGTGTTTCTCTCACTCCCCCGCGTTCGTGTCGTGTGTGGAGTGTAGGTTATCGTTTCATCTCGTTAATGGTAGTTATTATTAATATTAGGCGTATATATATAGTACAGTTTACACACCGTACAATACATACATACAGACGCCCGCGACAACCGGAAGTATCTATCACTTAATTAACAAAGTTTCCCCTTCGCGTCTCACCGAATTAACACTCGTTGACTACATCTAGATCAGACCGGTTCGTCTAAATCTGTTTCTGCGCTCGTCTCCTTTCCTCTCTCTTTTTTCTCTCTCTTTCTTGACAAAACATAATAAAGTAGAAACACTCTCTTCTTTCGCTGTGTATGTGATTTTAATTTTACTCTGTAGAGTATCCACAATAAAAGAATATTGTGTAAATAATGATCCACTGAAACTTTTGCCTTATTTTAAGAAGGTAAATATGTTAAAGAGTAATATGTTACAAAGTGAATAATTTAATATACATCTGTGTACCTTTTAATATATTCCCATGTTAAGGTAACAATTCCGATGGACTGTTATTTACTACGTAAAATCTTCTACTATGTACGTGCCTCTTATTTTGCCACGTTTTGCGGTTAGATATAATAAAATATAAGACCACGCAAATAAAAAATAGTCTGAAATGAATGACAGATATTCTCATGTATAAGCGAGAATATTATAATATTCTCAGAAGAATTTCAGTAATTGATTGCATATAATACTCGCATCAAATTCAATGAAATCCAAATCTTCTAAGAAGATTATAAATATTCTTACTTATACATAAGAATATCATCGGTTTGTTTTCCATGCGGAAAATTTGACACTCGAAGAAAGATTATACCGAGTTTCCTCGCCAGTCCCACTTTCGCCTCTACTCGCTTTGTATCAACACACACAGAGGAAAGCTCCGAAAGGTGAAAGCGGCGGGAGTCGAAACCCTAAACAATCTCGAGCTCGCGAAGTGGACGAGCAGGCGGACGTCCGCTCGTTCGTGACGAGAAAGATAACTAGTACGCGCACAGTGCGTCTACGCTATCTAAAATAGAAATCGATATCTCAAATCGACCGTCTCCGTCCGCCGCCTATCTCATTATATTTTCGATCGATCGTTATCGCGCAACAATTAGTGCGGTGTCGCGGGATTCGCACGGCTAAGTTTAACGCGTTATTACATTACAGATTCAATGATAAATATCTTCTTCCTTCTTTTCCCCCTTCTTTTTTTTTTTTTATTATTATAATCATTTATATGTACAGAGGGCAGCCCGCCTAGTAGGTTTTTAACGCCGGACGACGACTGAAGCGGGGACGCCGGTGCCCCCTCGATAATTGACGCCAGATCGATGTTCTCCTGTTCTCCTCCTCTTCCTCCCCCCGACCGTTTCGCCGAATCGTATTTAGCACTTCGACCTTCGCCGGTAGGATCCGGTGCTAATATTCGCTAAATAATCGCCTCGCCCGTAAATAATTTCGCGCCGTCGGCATCGATGGAATCGCCGAATGACAATTATTGATACGACACATATGAGCGCCGCGACGCGTCTCTATCGTCGGTTCAATATTTCTCTAACGAAAACCGGATCTTTCCGTCGTAATCTCTTTGCCGGAAGTCCATCGAGATGGGTAATTGAATTTGGTTACGCGCCGAGGAACCTCCAGAAATGGGCGTCCTTTTCGCGTCTCCGATGAATATTATTTTGATTATCCAGGCGGAAACGTAATGAAATTTGCAGTTCGCCGAACCTGGGAGGAAGTGACATCCACGGTGGGTGAGATGAAAGCGCGTCCGTAAGTATCGACGATAATTGCAGCGCGATCGGGTTCTCGATGACAAGCGTTCTATTTGTCGACGAAAAACGCGGGATGTCATCGGGCGAAAACAATTTGCGCGCGATCATCTCGTCGCCGAGGCTCCGGGGCTAAATTTACACCAGAGTTCGTTCGCCGACGCGTCAGCGAGTGGTCGACTGCGTAATCGAATACCGTCAATTAAAGCGCAGGTTGAAAAACGCGCCGGAGAAAAACATCGGGAAATAAACTCAAATGCTTCGGAGATGCGCACGCACTGTAAATCCAAGTATATAATTTTACACACTCATGTATATAAAATCATATATACGGTAAAAAATATTTTGTCCTTGTTTTCGTGTTAAATTTTTAACATAACCCTGTATTAATTTAACATCGCGCTAAATTGTATTTTCTGGCCGCAATTCCGCATTTAATCCTTCAACTCCTCGCGCAGCTCTCCACGAACGAACGGGGCTGAAGCGTTTCTTTGCCTCGTCTATCAAATACTACAGAACACCGGTTAAATATGTATACACACCGTTTCTATAAATAAATATTTGTCTAGATATTTTCTCGGCTAAAAGGGTAATTGGTTTCTAAAGCTTCGTGCACATTTTTTTTATGTCTACTTCTACCAATTTAAATCTAATCGACGATTAATTCAACGGAAGTGACCGATCGATCGGTTCGGCTAATTCGATTGTGTTGAGCCGATTAGATTTAATTGGTGGAAACGGGTATTATCGATTAGACACGAGGAGCTAAAGGGTTAAATCCATCCCCTGCGTTCTCAATCGATCATGCTCGTCTGAGTGCGCGGTTTGTTCCGTCGAGCGATTGATTGATGTTTATTGTCAGACTTTGGGCGCATCTGTACTCACGAATCGCTCCCTTCATTTCTGCGCGCGTGTCAACATCGAGTGAGCAACAACGTCCCTGTTCTATAACGATCATCGTCATTAATTATTATCAACCGCCGAGAACAACGTCGATGCGAATAAGAAACAAACGCACCGAGCGCTATGCACATTTTGCGCGTCTAATCTCTTCTTCTCCTCTTACACGCGATTTACTCCTTCCTTCCCGTTTGTTTCCTTTTCCTTCCCTTTTTTCTTTCTCTCGCGAACAGAAATCGAGATCGGCGTCATTTCACATTTCTGGATTCAGATCTCGATGCCATAGACACGCGAAAATCGTTCTCTCTCTCTCTCTCTCTCTCTCTCTCTTTTTTAGTAATATAAGAGAGATAAAAAAGTAAAATTTCGACGCGCACCAATTATCCGCGCATTTACTGTTTCGAATGTATGATAACAAATATAAATTTAGTAGGAGTTTATTCTGAAAAAAAGATTTTGGTAGAATTATAAAAAAATACTAACTTGAACTAGTTACATTTTATATTAGGTGTAATTATGCGAGTATATTTTTCTAATCATTCAAGCGAGCCTTCCTCGTCAACGACTATTAACGTGACTTGTGTCGCTTTCTTCTTAGATGGAAAGAGAAAATCAATTGAATATTAACATCGATTACTTAATTTTTCATTAAGTGACTGTTTGAAATAAAAAGAGTAGTGTATCATTTATCTATAAAATAGTTTCATACAACAATTGTGCGATAGAAACGAGCGAAGATCGGTGTAAGATGCAACTTCTCGTGTCTGTAGCATGGAAATTCGTGTTTACCGGAATTACACCGACTCCGTTTCTGACAATGAAACTGTCATAACTATCCGACGTTTTTTCCCCTGAAAATATATTGTTAAATACATGCAAAAATCTAAGAGACCCATATTTTTTTATACGTGCCTATATATCAGTATTTTAAAAGGTGTAACAATCTCTCAAAGCTAATCTGGCACATTTGGTTCTAATATCGCTGAAATTATGAGATGTCCTTCATAATAAGTCTATGTAATTTTATGATCTTTTCTGCTTGTTGTTGAGTAATAAGTAAATAAATTATAATATTTGTGGTTTATATTTATACAAATTGCACAAATAAACACGTTCTTTTAGTTATATTCGTCTGTATAATATGACTATATATATATATATATGTATACATATATATATATTTCTATATCTATATCTTATTATTAATAAATTCGATATTAAATGCGCACATTTAGGAATGTGATATGGAAAGGGGAATAATGATGTTTATTCCATGAAAAATTTTATTTCTCGTTCCTTTATTTTGTATATTTTTATTTTGTGTATATATACACACACGCATATTATATATGTAACGAAAAGAAATGATGAATTAACATAGAATCAAATTATACGGACATATCATGAAAGAACATCTTTAGCAGCAGTTTCGGTGATACTGACTTGAAACCAAATGTGTCAGGTGATTAGCTTTTTTCCATCCCTTAAAACTGCATAAAAGACGTGTATAAAAAAAAATTGGTCTCCTAAATTTAACAAGAAATCTCAAGGAGAAGAAGATCGGACAGTTTCCTTGTTAGTCAAGCGAATGAACCGAAAGGAAGACCGCGGGTCGCTCGGTCCTTGACCAACTCGGTTGCCAATTTCGGATCATCTCGGAAAGGGTGAAAAGAAACAGGTGAGAACGAAAGGCGATCTCCGAAATAATAAATGAAATAACGAGGAAAAGTGGACTAGTTAACACGACACTCTCCTTCCTTCTCTTCTCTCCCTCTTTCGTTCCCCTACTACGCTCTCTTTCATACGCGCAATACACACGTGCACACACATACAACACACGCGCGCGTAAACACACGATCCCCCGTCTTCTCTCTTTCCTCCCTTCTTCTACGTGTCGCAGCGTTTTTAGCAATTACAGTTGGCGTTTGTTGGATTGGTCGGCTGATCGGTGAGTCGTTGACCCTTGTTCTGGGCCATACCGCCCGCCACCAGGGTCGGATCATTGTCCAAGGACTCGCTCATCTTGTCGCATATTATGTCCACTAGCTGCTCGAACACCGCCTGTCGAAAGGAGAAAATCGATCATCCGCGTGACCTCGCGAGAGGCGGGATCGATATGTTCGCCTCTACCTCGAGGTACGGCAGTGCAAAGCGAAGGTTTCCGCGTGCGACGGTGTCCGAGAATTGCCGACGAGTTCCTTTATTACTGTATCGACACGTAGAAGAGATTAAAGAAGGATCAAAGGTTCCCCTCGATCGACTGGGGATTCGTTCGAGCGAGTTTACACCTCAAAAGCACGATAACGAGAAGTAAACGGCGTTCTCGGGAAATCGTCGTGATTAGAACTCTCTCTCTCTCGATTAGAGATCCTTGTCACCTCAAATAAGGCATTAATCAATTAAAGAGAATGAAACGTGACACCAAACGGTTAATTCCTTGATCTCGAACGCCTCGAAGAGAAAGAGATTTTTCTATCGTACGCTACGTGGACACATACCTTGACGTTAATGTTCTCCTTGGCCGATGTCTCGAAGAATCGCACGCCTAAATGATCCGCCAACTGTCTACCCCTCTCTGAGCTGATCACTCTCTCCTCCTCCATGTCGCACTTGTTGCCGACGAGGATTACCTGGGCATTGTCCCACGAGTAGGTTTTTATTTGCGTGACCCAGTCCTGGACCGAGTTGAAGGACTCCTCGTTTGTGATGTCGTACATTAAGATGAAACCCATCGCACCCCTGTAGTAGGCCGTCGTGATCGTTCTGTATCTCTCCTGGCCCGCGGTGTCCTGTAACGACGATCAATGAACAATCCATCGCAGTGTATTACGTGTCATTTTTTTTTCGCTCATCACACACAATTATCGCGAATTCATCGTCGGTAATAATATTGAGATATATCGGTGTATCTCCGTACAAAATTCGTGCGACATTGCGTCCGAATTCTGCTCGACGATGATAATTTCATTTAACGAACGAGCGAGTGAGCGGAAATTTTGGTCATATTAAACTCGACAAATTTCGAACTGTTGTCCCACTTTGATTAAATAAATGTAGTTACTTAACGCCTCTTTCTCTATGATGTATGATCCTTCGAAAGGATTTTAGAATTATTTAATATTTTACCATACATACGATAATAAGTAAAATAATATAAATTTTGTTTCTTCGTAGCCTCTGGCCTTTTCTTTACTCACTGCCGTTGAAAGTGTATATGCTGATGTAGAGTGAAAATAACCGTTGATATTCGCGTTGAAACGTGACGCGTCGAAAGATTATGCGTAAAACATTTATCCTCGAAATAATTCAAAAAGGAATGTTCAGATGTAAATTCATGCGTGTAAGTATGTATGATTTCGGGAAAAAACGAAATTTGGCCGGGAGGAGCACACGCGAAATAACAAGCGTATCAAGAAGTATACTGACCCAGATCTGCAATTTGACCCTTTTGTCGTGTCTGAAGACCGTCTTCACCTTAAAGTCGATGCCTACCGTCGACACGAAAGCCGAGGTGAAGGAGTCGTCTGCATAGCGAAAGAGGAAGGACGTCTTACCGACGGACGAGTTGCCGATTATCAGCAGCTTGAACATGTAATCGAAGTTTTGATCCGCGGCATCTTTCTGCCACTTTGGATCCTGGCCCGACATCTGCAAAGGCATTGAACTCTAATTAGTTTGGGGAAGTTTATAAGAAACTGTGCTAAAATTCTGAAATAGAGCATTTGCAATGCCGCAGCTGGATCTAACGCTTCTGAGAAGGGACTTTTGAGTATATGGGCGCTTATAATTAATTTGACGAGGATTAATTCTTGGCATTTTTATGACTCGATATCAACTAACTATTTGTCCTCACACCGAGTACAAAGGATTAATAATTATAAGAAGTGACCGAATGCATTGTCACGAAATTGGTCGTTTTTACGGCACTTTCTCGATTATCTTTCCTCCACGGACCGACAATATTCAAGATGGTGGGACAAGTCACGAAGCCCGTGTGTCACAATTGACTTTTAGCACGCGCGGGTCGTATAAATCGCGACTCGGGACGAACAGGAGGAAGCCGTGCGACGCAACAGATGAGTTTACTGACGATCCGTTGTAATTTATCGAACCACTCGAAAATTGTCACGGGATCCTTAACGTAATTAAGGAGAAAGGGAAAGAAGGGAGAATTTTCATTTCCGGAGCGCATTCCTCTCGTGGAATCTCCGCTTTTCTCCTTTTAGATGCAAAGTTACAAACGATGTTCGATACGAGAAAATAGTTGAATTTTATCGGAGACTCTGGTAAAACCTCTCGGGTTATCCGGAAAATGCGCGTAACAAACACGCGTTCCTCTCTCTCTCTCTCTCTCTCTTCCCCTCTCGCAGCTGATGATGATGATCTCAATTAAACCGCGGGCGAAAAATTCAATTAAACCACTCGACCGTGAGATTTCTGAATCGTCAAAATGATCGTAAGCGAGCTCTAATTGGAAGTCCATCGAATTTCTTGCGCGTTTCTCTTCTGCGCCGTCAATTTTGCGAGAACGCTCGTTGTCTGTATACTCGTGATCGACATATGCTCCGGTACCGGTTTATTCCTCTGCGAAGTAATCTCGACAATGGACAGCATCCGGGTCATCCCCGGGCGTAGCTGGAAAACGGAGTCCTTAACCGGCACGTTGTATGCGTTTCCGCGCCTCCTCGACATCTCTTTCTCTTAACGCGCGTCAATACATTCGTCGTGACGTCTTCGTCCTTTTAAATTCCTCTCCTCTATCGCGCCTTTCGACCGCGCACTAGTCTTATTAACTGCAATCTCAGCCACTTTTTATTTCCAATTCGTTGTCTGTACCAGCTGTGATTTATTTACCGTCCGAGCGATCGTACTTTTTGAAGACCGGAGTTCATCGCCGCCGTGTTTCACCCGTGTTGCTCGGCTAAACGTATACCTCGATATCGCGTGAATTCACAACGTTTGAGACGCCAGGTCTCTTTTCCTCCTTCCGATCGACGAATTGGATCCTACTATCCGTCGTATTCCTCCGCGAAATATCGGCAGTACAATGTTGCTGTCGAACGAAGGCGACGTGGCCACATTCGTGGTTTCTTCCGCCCCACCGTAGTTCCTTCCGCGGCGATAACCCGGCGATAGCGTGCGGTTTGCGCGCAGGTGCGTACGCTCGTATCGCTTCGTACTACTCATTCCGGCCGTTCACTGTACGGTGCAATGTAGTTTGCTAATAAGAGCTCGACGAATTCAAGTAGAGAAGATTCTTCAGGGAGACGAGGTTCCTCTTCTCGGGAGAGTATCGCCAATAAGATCGCGAAGGGGAAGTTTTATCCGCGAGTATTTCTACGACTTCGGCGGAAAATGTCCCTTTGCCTACTTCTTAATTACGGGGATTACAACTTCGCCGGGGTTATATAAAACTTAATTAAGGGTGTGTTTTTTATCAACTCGGCGTTTGACGAGGGATGCAACGAGTGTCGGGGTGAAGTAACTGCTCGGTATGCGCGGTATAAAGTTTTTTTCTTCAATCCTCCACGCACGCGGGCTAATCTGTGAAAAAAGCGCGAAAGTGTGACGTAAAAATAGCGCGGATGTCATGCGAAACTATCGAAACGGTTTAAACACTCCTACGGTAACATTCTGTTTACTTCCCGCGGAATATACGAACGTTGCGAAAATAGCCGGAAGGGAAGCCTCGACGTCTAATCTACGCAACGTGACAGTAATTAACGACGGTACATCGCTCTCCTCATGCAGAAGTGACGTCCGGCCATGGCGACGGTAAGAACGTGAAAAAGAGGGGAAGGAGGAAAAGAAAAGAGCTTCCGAGCTTACATCGATTAACGGACTGGTCGGGAATAACTGCGGCTATATATGCAGTTGGAAATAAATCGACGGATCGAGAATTATAAATACGCAAGTGTAAAACCATGGCAGAAACTTTAAGAACCCGGTAGCAGAGGTCCTTATTGATTTCACGTTCCGCGCCGCACGACTCACTCGGCGAATAATAAACACGATCTCCGTCGACGCGTCTCCCGCGAAAATTTCATTCGCTCGGAGCGACAGACATGCAGCAAAGTTAACACGAGGACCGACTCGGGTTCTCCCCGAAGCGATATCTTAAGGAGGCTTGATCAAGCATTTGATCGAATATAAAATAAACTTTAGATAAGATCAGATGAGAAACCTGTAATATATACATGATAGAAAAGTTAATTGAACAAACAATACATATTTCAATCATTTTTATCGTTTCTGAAATATTTAATTAAACGCTGCATATATATAGAAATTTCCTAATACAACTAATTTCTTTTAATTTGACATATTTGTATATAAGATAGAAATTTAGGAAAAAACAGTCGTAACATTAAGGTTCGACGTTTCATTATACTGCCGTCGCTAAGTACAATGGCTATTATATATTTGTAGATTAGACTATATTATGAAGAAGAAAAGTACCATGTTGCAAATAACACGCACATTTTTCGGTCATTAATTAAAGAAGCCTCTATATATTTTCAAGAATTAATAACTCGAAATCTTGCGTGTTGTTTGCAAAGTAGTGGAGGACTTTTTGTCTGCTGATCTGGGACACTTTATATTAATACTTTATTTAAGTATTTGGATCGACTGACGCATAAATATAGTATTAATAAGAAAAATAAGAAATCATAAAATATTACGCAGATATAAAATTTATTATTTAGATAGTGAAATAAATGTATAGAAATTGTAGCTTAATAAATTTTCTTGAAATACGATACTTAGAAATACGATACTTAGCGAGCGAACCTCCTTAATCCAAATCGAAATTAAATTTTCCGCCGGCCGCGTGGATCCGTGCGAGTTTCGTCGATTTTCATCACTCACATACAAGTCAAAGGTTACTGGCGCTCGCCGATTAGAGGAAATATACGGATCGGGACGCACGATCTATTTCCGCCTGTCTCGGCGCGTATCACTGTTCGAGAAGGTAGGTGCGGAAAAAACGATCAGGACAATACGACGTTTCGTGACGATCTCGCGTCCAAGGAGCGCGCGTATAATTATTTCGCGATAATAGGGAGAGGATAAAATCTCATCCGGCGCGTCGTTCACACACGGCACGGAAAAGTGGGACAAGGTTTTCCGAGCGCGATAACGATATCGGCGCCATATGCCATATGTCGCCGTTAACAACGGGCCTGTTCTCATAGCGAGCGGAAAGAGAAGAAGACAAAGGAAAAGGTGTGTACTCGCGCACACCTGTGCGCGATGTTTGCTTCTCTCTCCCCGGACGGCTGGGAAGGTAATTGAGCGTTCCGCGGGACAAATGATGATCGAGGCGGACGAGCATTTCCACGGAGGTCAAGTGGAAATCGATGGCCCGGCGATGCCGACGGGACAAGTCCATTCGCACGAGAGATTACGAAGTTAGTTTTGCAATCAGCGCGGAAATATCGAATCGTCTTCCCGGCTCGAAGGAGGAAAGTACGAGTTTTAAAAGAGAGCAAATCTCGGAGGACGCGTGTCTCCTCTCGCGAGTTGAAAATGCTCCCAGTCCGCCCTCTCTCTCTCTTTCTCTTGTCAGCCCGCGCGTATTTTCGTGAGTAAAAAGAATGTTTTTCCCCCACTCGGTTTTGTATCCAATTATCATTGCAATGGTATCGGCTTAAAATACTCACTGATTATTAATATGTACGCAGAAAAAGAATTTGTCTCGAATCTAAAATAAATATTCTCATACGGAAGAAAGAATATTATAATCTTCTTGGGAGATGTTTAATCCTGATTTGATTGAATTTGATATTTAGTCTTGAATTGATGCGCTCAATTCAAGACTAAAAATCTCTTGAGAATGTTCTCGCTCATATATGAGAATGTCTATCATTGATTTAAGACTATTTATTCCTGTATATGTCTTAAGATGTAGCCATATTCTGATGAAATACTCGCCATCTGTCAGGATTAAGATCTTTGGGGACCATTTTCTCCGGAACGGTAAATCGCTACACTTTAAGACCTATATATTTGTAATCAGCTTGTTATAAAATCGTGCAGCAAAAAAAAGGGAAAATACTGCTTTTCGACGCTACTTCTTTTAATGCTACTCCGTGACACTCTTAAGGATAATTTGCGCTTACTTAAATGGCCTATAGATTAATAAAAATCTACTTTGACGACGCTTCTCTCTTTAATTCTACATATTGAATTTTAATGCTACCTCCAACACCTATTCAATCTTTAATGCTACCTTCGAATTATTTTCACGCTAAAACAGGGATGGGCGAAAATTTCGGTGAATCAAGAAAAAACGGTCACGGAACGCGTGAGAGACGGAAAAATTCGCAGGACAAATGGTCCTTCTCATTGACCGGGTTGCGGCGAGCTGCCTTTCATTGGCTCATCGGGGTGCGATTACGCCCTTACGTTTACCGCGGACGCATAATCATCCGATTCGCAGTCACGCTCGTCGATACCGTCGACGACGTATCGGCGACGAGTACAATGACGACGGAGCAAATATTTTCGGAGGATCGATTGTTAAAACCCGATGCCCGCCCACGCGCACCCGCCCGTTACGTAGTTTCGATTTCAGTGCATCGCAGAATGAACAGCAGCGAAAGATGGAGCCTCGGTTTACGTCAGAGACACGCGCGTTAGCGTAAGGAATATAAAGTCCTTAACGACCCCGGCGCCTACGTCGCGAACGAATAATCAACCCCTCTTTTGAGACACATTCGGCCGACACTGCGTCGCGACAACGATTTCTCGTGGAACTGTGATCAATATTTGTCGATTACGCTCGACGGAATAACAATTTGAGGCGAGCATCACGAGCTGTCGGACGATTGCAAAAATTAACATGGGAAAAAAGAAGAGGAAAAACAAATCGAACGAATCACGAGCGACGAAGTTCACGATCAGTCAGACGCGCGATCTTCGGTTGCATTCGCGGCAAATCGTTCGAGAATAAGATGATTAAATAATGAGGGGGCAGGGGGCAATTGTCCTTACGTGTCACGACAGCGCTGCGCGTGCACACGAACGCTTTAATTCCTTATCAGGGTGCATTCAGGGTGACTTGGAGGGATCGATGATGTTTCAGTGACGATCCCGAGGAATCGTCACTGACGATCATCGCGCTCGATCGACACTCAGCTGGGTGTCGGACGGCAGGTAGCTAACTTATCGGCGTCTTCTCCTTCCTCGTGAATTCGCGTTCCGAGAGGAAGAAGACAGATCTCGCGAGGGGAAAAAGGTCGGCGAGCGGAGATTGCCGGAGGAGAGCGCGTTTGTTTGCTCTCGCGTCACGACGGCATGAAACGCAGAAAGAGCGAGAGCGAATGGAAAGCTCGAGCCGAGAGAAAGCGCAGATCGTTCGGACGAACCACTGTGGCTTTCCCGACAATTTTCCACGCAAGAACGGTAAGAGAAGAGTAAGAGGGAAGTGAAAGGGGGAGGGGGGGATCGATAGGCGTTTTGCGCAAAACCACGAAACTGGGGTGTCATTCGAGGACAGGAATATGAAAAAGACCAAGATAGGAAGACAGGGAGAAAGAAAGATAGAGGAGAAAAGAGGGGGGGGGGGAAGAGAGCAATAGATGAAGGGAAATCAATAAGCGAGCTTATCGACGAGTTTACTCTCGGCGTCTCGGTTGTTCGCGCGAATCCCCCACACTGATGACGATCTCGCCGCGAGATCCTCGCGCACGTACGTCGAAGCGAAACGTCACCTGGAAGGGTTACTCCCTGAAGGTGGGAAAAGAGGTGGTCTCTCCCCGACGAATCCCGCACGGACGTCGTCAGCGGCGATGCGACGAGAGATGCGACGGATGCACCGCGCGCGCTGCGCTTCGACGCTGTCACCGATCGATTAATATTTATCGCACGGTGTAGTAACGCGCGCGGTTGACGACGAGGAGGGATGGTGCGGCCGACGCGTGGGATATACTTCTATCTACCCCTTTCTTTCGGCACACAAGGCGGAAGCAACCCGCTCTCGCACGGCGAGGGTTTATTTCGCGAGCGATTACAAAGAGACTGGACTGGTGGCTCTCGGTGAGGCCTCGCGCCACCGTAGACCCCGCGGGTATATAGCTAAAATATCGACCATTTCGTAGGAACCCCCGCCCGATCCGGAGGAAAAGCCGCGCTTGCGCCCGCCGACCGCCCCGACTGGCATCAATATAACCGCGAATAGGTGGGCCGCCGGGGCGGGAGAGAGAGAGAGGACACTTGTTGATCCGGGGCTTCCGATCAGCCGTGGAACTTCGTCGATCGCGAAGTTGACGATGAGCGGCTTTCCTTCTCTCGCTTTTCGTGCTGTGCTGCCTCCTCTTAACTGGGAACGGTTTCCCCGTCGGAAACAACATAGGCACGTTCTATTTATATTCCTGTTTCTGATCTTAAATCAGAAAATCACGCGCGCAACTTTTTTCTTTCTTTTTTTTTTTATAGAGAGATGCGTTCGGAAATTAATTTGGAGGAGTTTCGAAAATGTACATCTCGAGGGAGATTTATCTTGTTTATAAAGAGTGTTTCTTTTACGATGAATCTGACGTATAATTGAAAAGTATAAACAAGTAAAGGACACTGCAATTATCTCCGAAATTTCTGGAAGGATCGATCCGATAAGGAACCTGTCGTCGGTGTGGTTGGACGGAGATATCACGAATATTCAGTATGAGATTCATGATCGACCACATGTCCGTCTCGCATAGAATACTATACGTTCCATCTGTGGTAAGATCGGAGAACCAAGAGTTCCCTTGTATTTCTGTCGGCTGGAGAGCAAGTCTGTTCATGACTAGCAATATTGATTTCCAGTCAAACAGGAGTAGATTATCATTGTCAATATACTCTTGCGCACACATTTATTATCTACAAAAGTGAGCGATCTCACCTATCGCTTCGTCATACGTCAATTATATCGGGCTTATGAATATCTTCCGATCACTTGATCAAGTACCAATGACGTCTTCATTTCGCTTGAAACACAATTAGGTGATTTTTCGTTAGTCGTGTTAAACATTTTACAGAATATCACATTGATTTTAAGATACGCTTGAAAAATAACATACTTAAAAATCATTCTCTGACACGTTGGTAAATGCGAAGATAAAAAGATTCGTTAATTCGCTGTCGAATCGCACTCCTCGAAAATAAAATATCCGTCCGATCTGCCGTTGAGTCGTACCACTTCGCTTCTCCGTTGAAGACGGCTCGTTACGCACTTTGGAATTAAAAGATAATAAAAGATCAGAAGCGTGATGCGAACCTTATTTAGCCGAGATTCAAACCCATCGGTGACTGATCTTTTTGCAACACCGCTGGTTGGCGCCAGGCAATCCGTTGAGCGTCTTCTCACGGGTTTAACAAGTCAGCTGTTATTCCAAAATACTATTTCAAAATCCGAGCAGCTACAGTACAACAAGCTGGACTATTTGTTTTCGTTACCTCCCTCTCGTCTGTAAGAAGTGTGCCTCTAAATATTACTAATAATAATTTATCGGCTATTAAATCATCATGATAAAGATTAATCGGCCTTTTCGACCGATCATTGGAATCTTTGGACGTCGATTCTTTTTCTCGGTTTTATTATAATTAATAATAATTCCTTAATTTATATAATAGGCTCTTTATTAAATAGATTACAAAAATATGTAAAGTCAACTATATACAGCCTCTCTATTTGTCAAGAATTCTCACTTTCGTCGGGCGAAAGTATAATATTCCATCGTGAACGATATTTATACTAAATACAAAGATGAAACCGTTTTAGCATCCTGTAGTTAGTACGTTTAGTACTAAGGATTGTTAAATCGTCACACGAGAACAAAATATACGTTCACGTCGGTATAGTTAGAGTTAAGCTTCACTTGGGGCAATCGTGTATTTATTAAAACTAACGTAAACATACCTAATCGCGCAACAGAATCGCGAAAGAAAAAACCTCGTGAAAGCTTCTATAAGCGGTAGCGAACGAGATCGATAAGGCAACATTTGTTTCTCGAGCGTTTTGCAAATAACGGCGCGATATTAAGAGCCCGGCTCCTTTTTTTTTCGCGAAATGATAAATCACAATTTCGCTTCTCGCGGAATAGCACATTCGTTCTTCAGCTTCTTCGCGGAAGTTTTACCAGGGCATCATTAAAGTCGTGTTTTTAATTGTGCTCCGCTCTACGCTATTTTTCATCAATCAATTAATTTTTATATTCTATCATCTCTCCTCTTTCTCTCTCTTCCTTTTTAACGTCGACTGCAATCGATTTGTTTGCGTGATTATTCTCCCCCAGAATCGTTCCTGTTATAGCGGCACAGAGTAAACTGCACAGTTATTACATTTAATTGCAGCCGTGTCTATAAAAAGATCGACCATCGTCGAAGCTATTAATATCCCTTTGGGGAAACTGAAAATTTAGCTCGTCCACTTAAACGCAAGTTTGTATTAACAGGACGAGTGAGATAACGTTATCACTTAGGCACTCAAACGCAACTTTGTATTAACGGGACGAGTGAGATAACACGTTATCACCTAGGGCAAAATGTGTTCGAGACGATCTACAGTTTGCTCTCGCTACTTTCGTCGTAGACGACCGCCGGATTCGAGGCTGCCCACTTTTCCTTGAGGGCGTGCTCTTCCTTTCTGGGCCGGTCCTTCAGGTTCTGCACGCCGGCATAATGCTCCTCGATCTCCCTCAAAGTTCTACCTTCGGTCTCGGGTAATATCACGAATAGCAAACAGCCGCCGACCAGATTGATCAGGAAGTGGAAGAAGAACGTGCCGAAGAGCGACATTCCGTTCACCATGTAGAGGAAGGTTTTGTTCGCGATCGATGAGAAAATGTAGCCGATCGAACCGGCCGCTCCTGTCGCGCCGCTGCGTACCTGGTAGTCAAATTCATCGTTAATCGTCTGCGAGCATCTTACAGACGACAGTGATTTTTCATCGGCTCATAATAATTCTCGGAAAAATACAGAAGATACCTCTTCAAGACGATGAAAAGCGACTGGTGAAGTCTAAGAGCGTCTAAAAATATGTATGTCGATCGTATAAGTAGAAAAGTATTTCATCGATCAATCACTGATTCGATGCGATTACTCGTGAGAAGAGGAAATTACACAGAGGGTGAAAATGAAAGGGGAAAGAAAGAAATCTGGCGTACCTTCACGGGGAACACCTCGCCGATGAGGATCCACGGCAACAATCTGATACCGATGTGCGACGCGAAAGCGGCGCCTATCATAAGGGTGGTCGGCATCCAAGTGTACTTCGTCCCGTCCAAGTACTCCGCGTCGCTCAGGTAGCCGTAAATAGCGGCCAGGAGGAAGCACAGGCCGGTGCCGCTGATCGACAAGAAGGACAATATACGCCTCCCCGCCAAGTGAATCGCCACTACGCAGATCAAAGTGCCGAACAATTGCGCGACGCCCAAAAACACCGCGGCCGCGTAGCTGTCGATCGGCGTCTTTAGCTTCGCGAATATCACGACGGCGAAAGTCTGCAAGGTTGCGATGCCGCCGAAGGCGGCGATGAAGAAGGCCGCGGTGACTAGGATAAAAGGCAGATAGAACGTTCGCTTGGTGTATGCCCGCCAGGCCTTTTCCTCCTCCTTGCCCTCGGGGAAGGCTTCTGCCCCTCGGCCGACGGCCGGCTTCTGCACCGCCTCGCAGAGCGCCTGGAACTCGTCTCTCACCTGGTTCGGAGCTACCCAGCCTCGTAGCCAGCAGAGAGCTTGTTCTGACTCCCAGAGACGATCTTTAGCTGAAAAGAGAAGGGAACACGCGAAGCAAAATGTTAGACACCTACCTTCCCAGATAAGATATCCTAAGATGCCTTTTGACGTCTAAAGGATATCTTTGAGACATACGTTGTTAGGAAACAGAAAATATACAAACTCTTGAATACGATCCCGTGTGAGAAAGAAAGGCAGAGATACGATTCGGTGACTGTGTGGAATAATTTCATATTTTGCTGGATAATTTAGACAAGTAATAAGGAGAGAAAATTTAATTACACAATCGCATCGTGTGTACTTAATGTTGAATTAAGGAGGCTGTAAGATTGAATGAATTTCACAGGAATTTCATGAAACTCGCACTACATTGTGTACATTGAAATATTATTTAACTGCTTGTGGAAAAATTCGGGAAGTGGAATATTCGCAACTAATGTTGACACGTGAGACTATCATCCTGATTTTAATTTCAATTTTTTAAGTTACCTTTATAATCTCCCTGAATCAATTTCAAGAAGAAGATTGAATGGATAAAAAATGACATTAAATGGAAATTAAATAATGCAATTGTCTGATTATCGAATGGATAGACAATGAAATCGTACGTTTAAGGAAACTCACCAGCGAGCCAATGTGGACTCTCGGGTACCAGGCACAAAGAGAGGAAGCAAAGAATCGGGTAAGCCAGATTGATCAACGCCACCATTCTCCAGTGGGCCAAAGTGCCGCTCAACATTTGCGTGAAGACACCCAGCATGACGGACAATGAGGAAGTCGCGGAGAGCATGCCACGCAAATGAGGCTGTGTCACCTCGGCGACGTAGGTCAAGACCGGTGCTTCCAGAAGACCGCCGGTCAGTCCGGTTAGCGCGAGCGCCGTGAACAACATCGCTGAATTACTGGCATAATGAAACATCAGCCAGGCCACCACGAACGGAATGTTCGACAGCAGCATCGTGCGCTTCCTGCCGTAATGCTGCGAAAGCGGCCCGCTCACGAGACAGCCGATTGGCACGAGGAATAAGTTCAGACTACCTGGAAGAGTATATTTTATTATATGTATTATATAATATTTAAGCAGTTTAGGAATAAAATTAATTTAACGTAAATTTCTATGAAAGTAAAATGTGATTTAAATAAATCAGAGCTGGCCGGAAAATTCCAGTGGGTGAAAAGAAACCATGGTGAGCTCCGATTTTTACCCTCTCAGATATTATCCACTGAAAGATACTGACAATATAACTATAAAAGGGACACCAATATGTGACGCTAAAATATACATATATTTAATATATAAATTTTATGCAAGATATATTTTTGCTTTAGTTAATCAATAATATTAATCGTTGACTGAAAAAAAAGAAATGAAACCAATATAATAATGAAATGTTTTTTCGATTCAAAATGTGAATATATGGAATACATTGTTAAAACAAAAACTTTGAAGATATAAATGTCATGAAATTTTATGTTAGTTTAATGAGAAACGCAATAGTAAAAGAATGGAAAATTTTTACCAATATAGACAGATCTAGTTCGCGTTTATGCTTATTATTATTGCACTTTTAAAGATGCTGTTTCGTTGTGTTTTGGCGATATGTCTTCCTTCTTCTATGAACCATTAACAAATTAATGAATTGTCGCGAGTCGTGATACATCGATTCGACTTGATTGCACAAGACTTAGTTGGTCGGTTAAAATGTCGATGCGGATTTCGATCGTAATGAGTGAATTTTGCGGAGAAACCGAAAGAAAACTTAAAAAATTCCACAAGAAAAATTTTCGGTTTATTCTTCGTTTACACAAGCCGATCCTTACTTATCCATGTCAGCTCTTCCATAGTGACTTTGATATCCGTATCCTCCCTTTGTAAGGAGGGAATGAGGATGGTGGAAAAACCCAAGGTAGAACCGAACGTGAGCAGTAGTAAATTTTTGGCGCTAACCGCGCAACATTGCGGTAGCGCTTGTCGAAATTTGGAGGCGCGTACATCCTCGACCGAAATTTTATCATCATTCCTGAAATACAGATCAGCAACATTAATAACCGAATTATAATGAAATGACATATTTAATAAAAAGTATACATTTTTATATAATGTTCCTTAAAATGAGTATTTCTCACACGAGTAATTTTACGTAAAATAAACTAAAAATGTCCAATGTGGTGTGCCTGTTAAACAATAATTAATTAATTTCATTTTTTAATATTTTATCCCAATCTTATTTTTATTGCGCGCTTCTTTTTGAAAGTGAAATATTACAGCTGCGTAAATTATCCCATTAACTCGCGAAGAAACTCACAGTATCTCACGATATACTAGGATGTACTCTAAGGATGTACACTCGATTATTTAGGTGAAATCTGTGCCAGCATAACTTTCGAAACTTTCCAAATATACGTTGTACAATAGTGCTACATTTCCTCGAGAACTTTTGTAGATTGCTTGAAAGTGAACCGTTTTTTGCGGTAAAAATAACGAAGAATATCTCGTGAACAAGGAATATATTGAATTATATAATTATATATTCGATGGGATATTATTTCAAGATAGTTATTCCAGTTTTTTGCCGTTCCTTGTATACTTTTACTCCAATACACATATGTAATATATCTTAACTTTGATAGAGGAGAATGGAAATGGCACGCATAACAACGTGAGCAGTACGAAAATTGACCAATTGCAGTAGATTATTCTTCTTACGAATTTACTTACTTCTCACATTCTTCTAACTCTCTCTCTATCTTTGCCTTCCTAAAAGTAATATTCTCTGAAAATAGAATAGCCTTGAAAAGTTATGGATGCTTAACACGCACAACTTTACGCGTGTAGTGGATTGAATTCTCAATGAGCCGAATAAACGATCTTAAATAGGCCATTGGCAACTATCAAGGTGGATATCTCACGGACGACAAACTAATTTATTTGCGAAATACTTCAGTGCTTTCTTACGTAATAATAGGTTTAACGCTTAGTGGCTACGATTTTCAAGTATACCTTCGTTGTACAAGTGCATTGAAAATTGCAATAACTCTAATAATATAAGTGTTAAGGCTGTTACTGTGTCTCTGCACGCATATGTAATTAACCCATCAAAGTCCTTGGCTAGACCAATGAGCAAAGAAATAATAATTGGAAATAGGACTGTGAAAAACATTTCTGACATAAAAAGCATATTATAAGAATCAATTTTGCAAAGTTTTAATATGAAAATATTCTCTTTTGCATAAACGAATAACGATATGAGAAAAAGTTATATGCGTTTCTTTTCCCGTAGAATCTATTGGTTTAATCAGTTTTCTTCTACAGTCAATATTTGTTTATAATAATTTCTTGCAAAATTCATTTTCGTAATAGTGTGCTTTTATGTCAGAAATATTTTTTTACTCTCCGGTGTTATTTCCAGTTTCTCGCTAGTCTTACTAGTCGTACGTTTTAATGGGTTAATCAGAAAAACGACGCTTACACGCATGCATTGCAAGTCCTTTAGCTGAAGCTTTCCTTACACGTCACGCCGTTTTAAATCACGTCATTTAACACGATTGGTTAACGGGTCGTAATTTAATGCGTAATTTAATTTAACACAATTAGACGTTTTAAATGACGCAAGTTAAATCGGCAAAAAACGTATAAATAATAGTCAAATGGGTAATTTTAAGAGGTTTATGCGTGTAAAAATAACACGCTTGGATTAACAGTGACGCGTCACAAACAGCGCGTCCTTAAAAGTTCGCGCTTTCTTCGAAAGAGGTAACGGTGCATACATTTCTAAGACCAGATATGGCAAAAATTCACCGGTAATCTCGTCCGCGCGCGATCAAAGAATCACCGGCAGACCGGTTTTTACGATGATGTATGTCACGTTGCGTAAACGTTCGCGAGCGCGCGCAATTACATAACAAACGGTTTTATAAGCGAAGCTTTTGTGTCGAATTGCGCCGGTGTAAAATCGTCGTAGCGTACGAATCATTGGCCGAACAATACGGCGATTAGCGCGGGTCATGCGGCAAGATGAGTTATTATCCTTCCCTTAATTATGCGCCCAAGTAGTTTCCTTCCGTCGTTTCGCGCGCAGAATCGGCGGAAACGATTTTAGACCGCTCTGGGAACTGCTTTTTGATACTCGGAGCCTGTCAATCGGCCAATTCTCTCGGTCGGAATGAAACGAGCCCAATAATGACGTAACGTAATCTCGTTTTCCACGCACGCGACAGTAAACGCGTTTATTGCTCTTCTTCGCGAAAAGGGGAACGTGCGATTTTCCGGGTTGCACTTGAGATAATTAGACATAACGTCCTTCGGTAAGTTCCACTGTCAGGGAAAATTCATTCGTAATTTGTTAATTTCCGACGTTATAATCTGAATAAGAGCGCTTGGTTTTTGCCGAAAAGCTTTTAAGCTCGGACTCCTTAGGCGATTGGTAAACCAAAATCTTCATATGTTTTCAAACAATAAGCGGCTGAAATCGGTTAATTATAGTAGCAGCGTTGAATTCAATAAAGCCTTCAAATTGAGCTCAGAAATGTTGACCGATACCACACTGAAAAGAAATTATTCAAGTAAATATAAAATAAAAATATTTACTAAGGAAATATTCGAGTAGCTTATTTGGATTAAGTACATAATACTTCTTAGCAAATATTTATTTGGACGATTTTTTCAGTGCAGAAATGTTGACTGATCCGATATCATTCTTACAACGATATTTCGAGCAGAATATCCTCAAGCGATAAATAAAAAATGAGCTGTCGCGCATGACATTTATTTATTATCTAGAGGCTCACGAGAAACCAAACGAGCGAGCGAGTTGCGAGAACGAGTCTAAGAATTCGGTACAAAAGTATTGGACGTCAAGTACGTCGAAAGATGATCGATTTTTAGCGGGCGTTCGATCAAACACTCCGATGTGACTTTAAAGCACACATCCTTCGTGCAGCCGGTACTAATTAATTGCCCCACGGTATTTAATTGCCCGAATGAATTGCCGGGAGATCGACAGAAACGACATCAAACCACTGATCATTCGACACATCGTCCGGTGACTAAATCGCGGAACATGACAACCAAGCGTTTTCCCTAATTACTTCGCGGTTTCGCACTTTGCCGCGAAAACGACGAACGATGACGAATCTCATACTGAGCGCGAAATTTATTCCTAGTCAAGCGACATCGCGCTTATGCGCGCGGAAAATATTTTATTTCGCGCTGTTTTCTCCTCCGCTTGCAATTCTTTGTTGTTTTGCGATAGTATACGGAAAAAATTAGTCTTGAGTCAAGAATAGATATTTTTATATATAAGCAAGAATATCATAATCTTCTTAGGAGACTTTTAGCCTTGACTTGATGGAATTTATATTGGTGCAAGTATTACTTGAATTCAATTAAAGACTAAAAATCTCCTAAGAAGATTATAATGTTCTTGTTTATATATGAGAATATCTATTCTCTATTGATTTAAGACTATTTTTTCTCCGTGTGTTCGTCGAAATTGAATGCGAAATATATTGTATTGTACTCGTGCTTATCGTCAAGGCAGTAAATAATTTTTAAGTATTTAGGTTATCAAGCAAGTGACAACAGTTGGACCGAATCTACGTGAAAACGTGCGCTTTTCCAGTTTCTAAACGCATCACGCATTTCCGTGACTCGATGATACCGGTATTGAGTTATGTCACTTCGGCAACAACCTTCCATCCAAGAAGGAAATAACTGCTGGCGAGGTACTATTTTTAGTATCGATTTTTAGTGTAAACAGTAGTTTGGTTTTAACAATACTAGATGCCGATTTGATATCCCGGGGGGAAAAAAGGATCATATATGAAATTAAATATAATCGTCGTATGTAATCGTCGAATATATACAATTCATCCTACATGTGCTGTCCGAATCGTTTATTAATGAGATTTCTCGTCGCCAGCTGAGCGGGCAAAGGAGATGAAAAATAATAACGCCGCATCTCGCAAGGAGTTTTGATTGATGCAAAGTGTATAGTTAATTAGCCATTGCACGAAGGCTGCATTAATGCGACGAGATTGACGGTCAGTGACCTCTATTCGCCAGCAGGCAGATAGATATGGACGTCGTTTACCGTTTATTTCGGTTCACTTAATAGCGCAATTCGGATTGCATTAATTAGTTTTGTTCCAATGCAGCAGGTAGATTATATCAATATGCACCTGTGATTTTAATGTGGTAATTTCGATTTAGGCGAGAGAAGGTATCTCGAGATTGAAGTGTGCATCTATTCGTTTATTTGTTAACAACGGGAAATTCATTCATCGTGGGCTCAAATATATTACATTTATTTCTTCGTCTTGATTAGAAAATTGTCTTACTTAATTAACTTTGCGAGTAATTTGTTATTATTTCTCACTGCTAGTATCAATAAATTCAGCAAATTCACTCTTGCATCCGTTAAATTCTAACAAATAAAATAATTATTTATTTTATAACAAAAAAATATTACAAAAAAATGGAAAATAATAACAAATTATGATAAAAATTATAAATATTACAAAAAATAGAAATTTATGCGGGCAATAGTGTAAATGAAACTTCAAGTTGCTTTCATTTTATATTAAAACTTTGATTATTCTTAGTTAAAAGACTGAAATGTCAAAAGTTGTATCTAGTTGTTAGTACTTTTATCTTAAACATACGGGATAAATTGCAACAAAAATTTGCGATATTTGTTTAATTATTCACAACACGTTTTCGGTTCATACGATGAAATTCATCGCACGCATTGAAAGCAATACGTCGAGTCTGTCGGCAACGCGCTAGGTAAATAATTAAAATGTCTTAGTTGTCGCTATCTGATGTGGAATTAATTACGTAAGTCGCCGTTGTGAAATGTTTCGTCAGAATGATTCGGATGTCACGGCAACAATAAAGATAGAGCTATTAGTGAGGATGAAGTAGTGGGAATACTATAATATCTCTCTTCCTGCGATTACCGTAATACCCGGTTTTATCGGTAACTGTCGGGTAAACTCATTCGCGGTTCATATGATCTCCTTGTATGACATAATCAAACGGTAAATGGACATTCGAAATGTTTGCCCGGAGACCGGTGTGGAATCAGAGAAAATCATGAAACATCTTCCGATGACACAGAGGTACACAACTGACGTGAACGCATGACAGTTGTGTCATTCGAATGTCATCGGAGTTTACACGAGTTCGCGAGATTCTCCGAAGTCGGTTATTTTACTTATTAATTCCACATTTTATAATTTATGAAATGCCCCCTATACTTTTGTACAGGCTGAATTATTACCATCTTTCGAATACCTTCGAAATAAGAGAGTAGCGAAAAAATTTAACAAAAATTATACAACAATCATCACCTCGAATACCTGCTGTATGTGAACTTTTTTCATCTTCACATCTAGTCGTTAATAAGATCTTTTTATTTTTCCAAGATATTCCACGCGGTAATAGTTATTGCTTCACTCTGTGCAACGTTCTTTTTTTTGTGTACATCTTCCTATGCAGAGAAAAAGATTTCTTTGGATTTTATAACATTTAAGACAGATTTAATAACATTTAAGACAGATTTAATAACGTTTCTTTAATTGAGACAAATTTTTGTCTATTAGAATAGAGCAAACGAATAAATATTTGATACAACAAACAAGATTGCTTCCTCAATAATATACACACACAACAATAAATATATTTACTTCAAATGTTTCTTTTATATTTTCCAAAAATTACAGTAGGACAAGTAATAAATTGTTTAAAAGAAGTGATATTATGTTAGAAGAAACTCCTTTTTGCTTCAGTGGAACAATATATATAATGAAATAAATTTTTTTTATTAGAAACAAAATATACACAACAACATGGTTCACATGGTTAGTGAAACAACAGTATTTTCATTCCAACAAAATGATATTAAATCATGTTGTTTGTAAATTAAACAAACCCAAGTCGAGCAAACAATTGTACTAAATCTAAAGAAACTTTTTGTCTGTGTATCATTGAGTAAATGAAACTGAGTTGTGTTATATTTACTCGACGTAGATGAAATTACCGTCAATAAAATTGAACAACAGATGCCAGTGAACGGCAGTCGTCGGGTTTAGCATTACGTCACAGGGGTATAATAATAGTTGCGAGTTACAAATTGTCTATTCGAATCGACGCAGGTATACACATAGTTACGCGTCATAAAAAGGCTACACAAAGAGTGAAAGCCGTTCCACGCATCATTAGTGTTTGATTGCCGCATTGCAATCAACAACACGGAGTCTAACTGAGAAACTTGTCTGTAATTCGCTGCGCAACCATGCAAATTGATCTCGCGGAAACTTGCGAAACTGTGTCAATAATACATTTTCCTCTCCCCTTAACCAAGGAGATCCTCTTAGGAACCAATTAGATGCGGCGTGCCTTGAGTTTTGAGCTCACAGTTTCGCGGATCCTTCGCATCAAGGCTGACGTGATTATTCGCGCGTTACGTTGCTGAACAGGAAGTTGCGCGAGCGATTTAACGATTTAGCGATTTAACGCGATGAGAGATTAATTAATCGGACGTCGGTAAATATTCATGACGAGAAGGGCGACGAAGATCTCGCGAGGATAATGAGAATTCTTGGATCTAAGACCGACCCCCACTATGCGATCAAAATACGATTAGTGTTATAGTGAGATTAAGTCGAGGTGATGAATTGTTTGCACCATTTACGCTCTTCGACGTTCTTCCGTCGGTCAGTCTTGCAGAGTATCATCCGTGTCAATGTATTGTTTTCAAATGCTCTCCAAATCTTCGTTTATTCGCAAATATTCATTTAATAAAATTGTTTTAATTTTGGATAATAAAGAACAGAGCGTGCATAGTAAAAAAAAAACATCTTGTAGTTGTTTTAAAATCGGTCCTTGTTAAAATTTGTATATTACACTTTTAACACGTGTGTTAATTTAACATATTGTGTCATCTCAATATATTTTTGATTGAGTCGATATTCAACGTCTATAAGTGTGAAAATAACATATTTTATACTTCAATGTCGATTCAGTTAACGTATTAATTTTGTGTTAGTTTTTGACATAATATTTGTGTTACTTTTCAACATATTTGTCTTGAATTATGAATTAACACAAACATTTGAGTGGATTCTTTGGCACATGTGAAATGTGTTAAATTTCAACAAAATTTTTTACCGTATGTGTGTCTCGAAAGAAAAGATGTTTTCGGGTATTAAAGTTAGTTAATTTTCTTAAGATTCTGTTCAGATTATAGCAGCATATTAACCGAAATACATACATACAAAATTAGAGAAAGATTGACTACATCGAAGCTGAAATAATTAAAGTTAGCATTATTTACATCTGAATATGATAAAGTACTTTTGATAAGACCTTTTTTTAAATAGACAAAAATATTAATGACTGCATAGTTTTGAGAAAATCAACCACAAGGAAAATGCTACGCCAGTAGTGCTAGGAAATTTATAACGGTTTATCAGATAGGAATGCGCTTATAAGCTGATAGATACATACGTATATATGTAATCATATTTTACAAGCTGGTAAATATGTCGAAAAAATTATGGAATTTATTATTTTTAATTTCTTGTATAATGTATTAGTAGCGTGTTGAGATGTCTACAACGCTTTTATACGTATAATTTCGTGTTACACTAAAAGATAACTTTGAGGAATTAGTTGTTTTATTTCACTGACCTATTGAAACATTCGAAAGAGGTGACCGATTCGGACCGCCAATGATCGAACTATTTGAATTTGAATTTTTTAGATTCGAAAACGAATCGAGTCACTTGATTTAAACGATTCGCACATTTTTAGTATAAATCGAACATTATCTGTTTTTATATTTGTTTCGTTCGGAATTCCTGGCGAATCTATCGGGATAGTATAACGAACCTCTTTCCATTCTCCGCGCACTCGGAGGTTGACATTTTCCTAGGGCTGAAGCAACGAAACTCGATTCTTCCAGTTCTTCACGTCGCTTTCACGTTCCGCGCTGCATATTGCTGGGAAACGCTTCTGGTAGTTTATCAAATCAAGAAATTGGATAAAGAAATGCGTATTTCTCGTTAACTTAAAGTATACTAATCACATGGTTACTACACTCGCGCCGATTTTCCTTATTGTTCTCGGAAGGTAGCTTTATGGCCGGTAGAGATCATCGAATCGATTATATCGACACAAGCGTCTTTGGATGACTTCCTTCTTCTTCCGGTTCGCCGGAAGTGAATTCTTGTTCCGTTGGCACGACGGCTTTCCGAAATTACGCTCGACGAGCCACGAGGAGCGCAAATAAGATGATTACTACGAGAGAGAATCCCGAATAAGAGATCTTCCTCGTAAAAGACAAAGTTCGTCGATCATGCTGATTCTTCTTTTTTAAAACGCTTTCACTCGGCCAGATTTTATACAATGTATCGACTGCATACTTTCTCCCTCTCTCTCGCGAGCTAACCCGAGGGAACCCTCCGCCGGATATCGCCCTTTCCTTTTCGTTCGTTCGTCAGCTCGTATCCTCGAGAGCTTCGTCTCTCTTTCCTTTTTATTTCTTGCCTCCCCTTACTTTTTTTTCCATATATAACATGCGTTTATATTGCCCGCTCGTGACCGGCCGCTGATCGTCGGCGAAAGGAGGCGAGTGTCCGTGAAAAATCCGACGTAAAGTGAAACCACGCTCGCAGAGAAAGCGTCGTCAGAGATTGACAGGTAGGTCGCTGATATATTAGATCGGAACACCGCGATGGACTAAACGATGCATGGCGCGAAAGCCGCGAGCCAGCTGCACTTTCGATTTTGACTCCCTCCTACGACACCTTCACCGGTGCTGACCGGAGGTTGCGGGCGAATCGTACGCGCGCGACCTCTCTTTTCCCCTCTTCTCGCGACATCATTTTACCGTAATTATCGCCCAAAGGCAGACCGGCTAGAAGGGAAAGGTAATTCAGAATGCAAAGAGTTAAATTCATGCGATATCTCTCGTGAAATGCAATATTTTCTCAGTCTTATCCTTGCACGATTTTTATGCGCAATTTTTGCGCGTGCTTGCAACGTAAGCGAACGTGTTATCGTTGCTAAGTTCGGGCGAAAAATTTCCAACAACAACTTAAACATTATCATACATAGCGGTTATTATACGAACGCAGGCAACATTTATTTGCGGTTTTTCGTATACAATTTTTCTTAGTAAGGATACTTGTGTAAATAAAGTATTAGGAGTTATTTGCGTGCGGAATAACACGTAGTGTGTGTATAACGTACAGACAGGTTTCTTGAAAGAATATCGTTCTTTTGTAACATAATGAAGCTAAAAATAGTATTATTTTAATCCGATTCATTTCAATTAATGATCGCGATTTTAATACCTGTGCTGGAAAGATTTTATAGCACAATAAAAAAGTGGGGCACACATATTTACATATTTCTTGTACGTATATATTAAACACATTGGTGTATTATTGTATGTATAATGTGGTAATATACCGTTGCAAAAGGAAACATTGGAGCCACCGAATGAATTGTTCTACTTTCGGTAGAGAAAATATCCGCGGGAAAACGGGGAAAAGGCAGTTTTTTCCTTGAAAACTATCACAGAGGATGCAATTATCGGGGAGGAGAAATTAAAGAGGGCTTCTTACATTGATCGCGCGATTCTTCGTAATACGGCGACCGCTCGATTGCTTTTCGCGGCATGCAATAACGGTCTCCGAACGGTACGACGATGACGCATAATTTCAAGATCGCCGACGGCGAGTCGATCGTCGAGAAATAACGGAGTCGGAGGTGTATTAAAACATGACAATTTATTGAGAACGATACATTTTGCTGATCGGCACGTACCTGCGTTAAATTAATTACATAAATAGAAAGATCACACGGATTTCTGTCTCATCTAACTAATCTGTCAGCGTGACAGTTAGGGGAGCGACTCTATTCTAGAAAAAAACCTCGTTCTCTCTTCGTTTATTTTCTACTGATACAATCGAATTACACGGTGTCTCGCGACGTAGAAAGTTGCTTAGGAAAAATATATATGTGTCTATACGCTTTGCTATCTCCCGATGGCTCGATGATCACGGTCGTAAATCCGCGCTAGAACATCTCTCGCATAGAACATCCGAAAATAAAATATTTATCAATAAAAACTGTTGTATGTATACATATATATATATGTATGTATATATATATATAGTACATTCAGTCTAAAACACGATTAATCCGCGAGCAGTGGCGTGACGGGTAATTCGCAGTTCATCGCGAAAGGTTCGCGAATGATCTCGTCGACGATAATAATTTTTGGTAAGACGACAGGAGAAAGAAAATCAAGCGATACGTGGTCGCGATCAACGCGTAATCCTCGTTATTGCCCGACACGCCGACGGACTCCCGGGTTAAATTTCACTATCTGCGACGTTCGACTATGAGAGCATCGCGTCCTCTCGAGTTACCTCCTATGCGCGCTAAGCAAGCAGAAGACTCCTTCGCAGTCGACGACAGAGTATAGCAAACGCATCCCAAACACGTAGTGTACGCGCTCTTTCGAAGGGCCGACTGGACTAGCTAACTTCGAATCTCCACTCGTGTGCAGTTGTCGTGTTACGTTAAGCAAAAGAAGCATATCACGTTCACGCTGATTTTCAAACCAGTTACACATTACTATCGTATATAAAACAGTTCGCGTATAAAATTAAAGCACGTCACTTGCAACGATTTTCTCCTCTTCTAAGGAGTCCTTTCTTCTAACAAGCTAAATTAAATGTGTCGCGTTTGAAATGATACGATAACCATGAATAGAGATATCCAGTCGAGCGGAAATCAATCGCTAGAAAAGGTGTTAGATATATATATATATATATATATAACTTTTATATCAAGTATATAAGTTATATACATAATTTTATATGAATGTAACGTATAATTAATCTCAGCCCTGAATAAATTAATTGTAATATTACAGCGCCGAATATTACAACATGGGATATATAAAACGAGTCACTTAATTTTAGAAGCCTAAATATATAAATATAAAGCAAAATATTCTGAGATATTTTACTTTTTATTCTGATATTTTTCTGAATAAGGTATGAAATGTTTAATAAAATATTCACTTTTCGATAACATCACCTTGAATATCTCGAAAAGTATTTATTTTTCGTTGATCCGGTACTTTCATACGCAAAATAAGCAGAGAAATTTAATTGTGTTAAAGAAACTATATTAAAAAAAAATGAAATTAACCTTGAAATTGACCATACAACAAAGTTAAAGTCACCAACTTATCCCACAATTTCTGTCCGGAATATTTCTTCCTATTTTGTTTTACTTTTTATATATTTAAGTTTCTAAAGTTAAGTGACTGACCCTGCATATGTATTTAAATAAGATTTCTTCCAAATTTCGAATGATTCCGACATATTAAAACTTGCTGAATTAAATATAATAGTAGTAACAAATACTTCGTATTAAAAGATAATCGCTACGTCGTATATAAATATAAGCGAGACACATAGATTCTAAATATTAAATAAAAAAAGACTAATCTTTCTTTCAAATTAGATTTACTTAAATATATACCGTACAGTGAGGAACAAAGTTCTTTCGACCTCTTTTTGTCATTGATCGCTCACATTTATTACACCACCCGTTTTTTCGCTATGAAAATGGAAGTGACGGATACGATAAAGGCACTTTCAAAATCTAACGTGTATCACGTCGGTCATTTCTCATTTCATTTAAGAAATAACGTTTACTCACGGATGAAAGCACATCAAAAAAACAATGTTTCAATAAACGAACTATGCGTCAAAAGATCTAATGATTTCAGCACAGCAGTGAGAAACAGATTTTCTATGACCTCTGTGATTATAATTTCTATGACTATAGTTTCTATGACTATTGCACGAACTTCTATAATCTCGTAATCAACAACGCCCATTTACTAGATACAAAACTTTAGGGCCAATTTCGTCGCGCAAAAACTTATAACTATCTGATGTAGATACAATTTAATGTAATAAGTCGTATCATTGCCGAATATTTGTCATAAGAAATCTCAGATTTCGTTTATTCGTGCAAAAGTTAGATTGCCCTACACGTTAGAAAGCACCGTTTTAACAAATGCATTGTACGTTATCATGTTACTTGTCATAAAAAAAAGGGTGCTTAAATAAAAGAGCGTCTTTACATTATCTAACAAAAAAAAGAAGCTAGACATTCCAAGATAAAGCACAGCCACTAAATGTGTTAACGTAATAAACGAAGAGAAATTACACAATTGTTCCAGTGTGCTCAGTGTGCTCGAAATTTTAGGTCATTTTCTTTTTCTTCTTATGGTTTCATCAGTGTAAAAAAGGCAAAATTATGAGGGACATATTTACAACTGCAAACCTGTTGAATCCTCTCAGTTCGTGCTGTTGACGTTGACGATTTGTTAATAAAAGTCGAAAACCGTGATTGCAGTATGTCGCGTCGGGTAAAAAAAATGTATTCCCATGTATCGGTTTCACGAAGTCGTAAGTTCTAAAATGGCCGTAACATGGTCGGAGACACGAGCTTACGTCGAAAATATGCATCACTCTTCGAAGAATGTGAAATATAGTCGTATAAAAATCTACATTTCTAAGGCGTAGACTAAAAAAGAGAAAAAAAAAGGAAAACGCCCCCCTCTCTCTCTCTCTCGACTGATAATATTAGACAAAGAGAAACGACTATGTACATGTGCATTCGAAGAACTTAGTCCATCTTATCGGAGACCAGTGGAAATCTGACTATTCTCAACTGCCGACCGAAGTCGCAAACGACGCTGTCCCTCAGCGCCAGCATCTGCTTCACGAAAATGCAACTGTCTTTATGACCCAATCTCACTTCCCGCACGGGCTCGCCCGTCCTCACGTCCCAGACCACTAGTGATCCCTGAAAAACCCGTTTCGCCGTAGCGCGTTCAATTTTTCGCGATTTATTTGTCGCGCTAAAAGAAAGCCCAGTGCTGGGAATATCGATTATTTACCTGATTGCTAGTTATAAGAAGATGATGAGTCAGCATTACCAGTTGCAAGCTGTAAGCCGCTCTGTGTGCCGGCAGAGTGTGCAGCAAGTGGCCCTGAAAACGTTCCCAGACGCACAATCTCTCGTCCGTTCCGATACTTATCACATACGACACGGAACATGTGACAGCAGCTATAGCACCATCATGGGCTTGAATACTATACACGCATGTACCTGAGAGAAAAAAACAAATAGATATCACAAGATTCGACAATGATGATGTATATAAGTTTTCGGATTAATGGAGGCGTCACCTGTCCCATTGAGATCCCAAACGCACAACACTCCGTTCTGAGATCCACTGCCGAATGTCGAGGAATTTATTCTGTCGATGAATAGGCACGATATTGGGCCCGAATGCCCGTGGAAAGTGTACTTAAGCCGCTGATCCTCTAAACTAGATAAGGGGAGAAATATAATACGGGTGAAACGAGGGATTCTCAGAAAAAAGGGAGGAGTGAGCACTTACCTATGTACTTTCAAGGTGTGATCCTGGCTACCCGTTATAACGTGTTCGTGGTCGCAGTCCAGAACGGTGATCACTTGCTGATGCGCTCTCTGCATGCAAATTTTCATGCAGCGCAGATCTTCCTCCGTCTGCATACTATTTAGGTCCATGGGCGAACCGGCGCTGCCCGTTCGCACATGAGCTGAAATGATGCGTTAATTAAATGGAGAGAAATCAATAGAGACTACAATCATTCGCCAATACTCCGGCGTTAGATCACGGTTGCAGTTTTACTGTATATAAAATTGGGTAAGTTAATTTTTCAAGTAAATTAAAAGTTACTTAAACAAAAACTAATTTAATTAAAAGTTAAGATAAAGTGCTTTATATAAATTAATTACTTCAATATTAAAGTTAAAAAGAAATCATGCAAAACCTATATGGGCGTTTTAATTAACCTTTTCATTGTAGATTAAATTCATGCGAAGTAATGAAGAGATAGTTTATTACAAGAAAATATCGACCATATAGGGACTCAATAGAAAAAAAGAGCGTTCAAAAAGACGAAAAAAATCTACCAACGTTACTATCTACTAACGCAAGCACTTTGCAGTAATGACTTTAATATTGATGAATTATCTTAACTTATATAAAGAAAAGTTAATGCATTTTAAGTAACTAGTTTAAATTAAAAAATAATAAATTCATTTAAAATTGATCAAGTTAAGATTTATTAATTTTTTTAACTAATCAGTTAAAAAAGTTAGCTTTACTAGTTAGATTAACTAGTTATTATCCAACCCTGTTCTGAACGGATCTCGACGAGAAAATGAAGCATCCTTGCGATTCGCAACGATCAACAGAAATGTTACGTAACGCAGGGACAATCCCTAAGATATTGTGATTTACTTCTCCTGTAAGACGTGAAACCCCAATCGATCTGCTGGCCTTCGCTATAACTCTCAAGCTGCAGAAAGTCGACAGCGCCGTTCAGTTTGGCTGCCACTACTCTGCTGCCGACCAGCTTGACAGCAGTAATCCCCAGTTCCGATCCGTCGTCGAAGATACACTAAATCAAGGAGCGAAGGAATTGTTGAGTACTTGAGATTTCTCAGACGGTGCGTTCGTACCACACCGGTTGGAACGAGTAACGAGCAAACAGCAAATGTGTATATTCGCGCTTAAAAGCGCACGAACTTTGAACCTGATAAACAATCTTACGAGCAAATCGTTCTTTCCGTTATGGCGTAGACATTTTCTAAATCACAACAATGAAAGTTCGCATTATTCGTTCTTTATCCGTTCGCTCATGTTTCATGAGAAAGAATTAACCATCGGAGATAAAATAAAAACAGTTATAATATCATTGTTGCTTATATTTATTAGCTGTTCGAATTAAGATTCGTCTATCTCCGATAGCCATGTTGAATGTACAACGTCAGAGGCAAGAAATGACATGCAATAAATTTCTTGCGACATATAGATTTTAGTTTTTCTTGAGAAATATAGTTTCGTAATCCTAAGATCTGTAAAATATGCGGCAAGCTAAGACGTCACGTGGAATCGCACAATAATTTCTCAGCTGTTACGGTCGCCTGAGAAAAAAGTATCGTTATTTCGTAGAAATGATTTTGCGCATTCAGGATTACGAAACTATATTTCTCAAGAAAAATAAAAATCTATACGTTGCAAGAAATTTACTGCGTGTCGTTTCTCACAACCAATATGGTGATAGCTTGAAAGCGCTGCAAGGAACAATTGTAAGGTTGGTGCTAAATTTATTCAGATATTCAGCTATCTCTAGCTATAAGGCCAAGAGAAGTCAACCGTTTTAGTGTCATTAAATATTAATATAATTATAAATATTAATAACGTCGTATCATTAATACGATACGGATGGAACTTTCGGACAAACGGCGACACAAATAAATGATCCTTTGAATCCCAGTAATATTAATTTAAAATTCAGCAGGAAATCCTTCCCCGAATGACTGACTGAATTAACGAGCAATCCATTGACTCTGCTTGTTACGTAACGAAAAATGCCAGCCAGGAGAATTGTAGCTCCTATTTCTTTCTCTGGGCGCAGCTCTATTCGTCTCTCACCTTGAATCTACCAGTCGTGCCCTCCCAGAACTCGAGGCTGCCATTAGCGCAGCCCGCCACAATGAGGTTTTCCTGATAGTCCATACACCAAATCACGGATGTGGCGTGCGACACTTGCGTCGTTTGCTCGGTGCTTATGGAGGAGGACGCGCTGTCGACCAGGCCGTTCCTGTTGAGTCTGGCTTGAGGCATGCTCGGCTGTTCCCTGGTGCGGGACATCTGCATTTCTTCGAGCGACCTGTTGTGCCTCTCCAATAGGCCTCTGTACCGTTCCCCAAAGTCGAAGCCTTGATCGTAATTCTGCTGGGCGGGCGTGAACTTCACCGACGAAAACCTGATGTTGACCGTCGACTTCAGGTCGGGGATATCGTAGGTGCTGTCTAAGCTTCGGCGCAGCCAGCTCTGCTTGTTGACTTCGTTGATCTGATACTCGTAATCCGAAGTGTTGCCGACGGATCGTCTCTTGTGATGGTAGTGGTGGTGGTGGTGGAGCTGCTGCTGCTGCTGCTGGTGGTGATGGTGATGGTTGTTGTTAACCGGCTGCACGTTGTAAGCGGGTGACAACTTACGCTGATACACCGCCGGCGAGTAAAAGCCTACCATCGAATTCGCCGCTTCCATCTCCCCCCTGGAAGGCGGGGAGCCGCTCTCGTAGTCCGACATCAGCTCGTCCGCGTCTGGCGGGGTGCGGCTCGGGATCTTCCGAGGGCTGCTGAAGAATTGCCGCCTGTCGATGTGCGCCAGTTGCTCGCCCGACGTCGAGTCCCACACTTTGATGTGACCCGCTAGACACGCGCTGGCTACGGTGTTACCGTCGGTCGCTATGCACTCCACCTCCTGCGTATGCCCTTCCAGAACCAAGGGCATCGCTTCCAGCACCAGCTGAGTGACGGAGTCCTGCGTTTTGTCCTGCTTGTGCCAGCTGGTGCGCCATTCGGCGTAATTTCGGGAGCAGACGCAACGGTAAAGCACGACCATCGTGTAGGCGACGACGATGACGCTAATAAAGCACAGCAGAGCGGCCAAAAATATCTCCATCGGGCTCGACGGTACGAAAGGGGCGTCCGTATTAAATATACGCGTCTCCGATCTGGACGGCAGCTCCATATCTAAAAATAAGAATGAAATAAAAGTAAAGATAATTTGGAAACTGTATGGAACATTCGCAATGAGGAAACGACTCTCTGCTGTTGTACCCACCGGAGAAGTCCAGAGGGTCAAGCGCGGCTGTGGCGAGACTCTGCCACTGGAAGTGTTGAACGTCACTCGGGTTGCTGATCTGCTTCACGAACTGCGGGTTCATCGCGTGCGACAGTTTGATCGTCGGGAGTATCGTCACTCGTCCGCCGGCGATCGAGACGTTGTACATCGCGAGGATCGAAGACCAATGATACGGCGACAAGCGATTCCACGGTGGAAAGTTGACGGGTTTCAGTTTGTTCAGTTCTTCGGTGGCGTTATTAGTCAAGTCCTGAAATCATACGTGTTTCATTTGGAAAACATAGAGGCGAGATCGAAGCGAAGATTCACCTGCTCGTTCAAGCGGTCGATCGTCGCGGGCGGCACGGAGATGACAGTGTTCAATTCGACGTAATTGCTCAACGACTGAGGCCTGTCTATCGTGTATCCCACCCCTATGTCGCTTTCTTGCTTCACCGTATCGCTCAGATGCATCAAGTCCTCGACGATGCCGGATTCGTAGAAGATCTCGCTGATCCACACGACCATCAACATCATGAACATACGTTGGAAGAAACGCGTGCGCGCCCAGAAATTCACCAGTTTCAGCCGCTTCGGGATCTTGCTCGTTGCGTGGGTGTTTTGCGTGTTAGGGGCGATTACGTTCGTCGGGCCGGTGTACAAGCCGTTCAACTTGGGGTGAGACTTGGAGCGGAATATGTGAGGCTTCCTACTGGTGATGGTGGTGGTGAACTGTTGCCGGCGCGGTATGTACGACAGGTGAAACTTGGCCGGGTTCTCGCTGGACAACTCGCTCCGTCGAATGTCAATCGCCAAGACCGTGGAGTAGAATACCAATTGCAAGAAGATGTCGCTCATCAGTCCGACCAAGGCGGATATGCAGAATTTCTGTATGACCGGCACGAAGGTGAACAGTCCGATGGTCATGATCGTCACCTGTATCAGCAGCATCTTCGTGATGCCCCAGCCCTCTTTCGCCAGACCCTGCGCGAAGTGTATCTTCACGTCGAAGTGGGCGGGCGCGCTGATCACCTTCGTCGTGAACACCACGACGTTCTCGAGACCGAGTATCACCAAGTACGGAAACACTTCTTTGAAGCTCATGCTGAAAGTCAGACCGAAGAAGAAGCACACACCCATGGTCATGGACACGGAGCCCATCACCGTCATGCTGGCACTGAACGCGATGCCGATTTTCGACTTGACCATTTCTATCTTCCGCACTGAGTAGTACATGTAGAAAAATATCGCGAGCAACGCCATCGCCAACGGGAAGAACTCGCTGTAGTTGAACTCCCCGGGATAGAAGACGTTCAGCACCTCATCGTGCGTGACGTTATCGACGTTCTGATGGAGTTTGTAGTAGCTCTTCAGTCGATGCTGTAGCCCCTTGATAAATCTGGAAATGGACATTGGCATGGACACGTATCGACCGAAATACGCGCATTAGAAACACTCACTCGTGATCATACTCCTTTAGATATATCGTTACAGCGTACTGGAGAATTCGCTGGCGAATCCGAATGGGATATCTCTTCGCGCCGGTTTCCTTCAGATTCATGCCGAACATCACCTCCGCGAGACTTATCTTACCCTTCTGAAAATTCTGCAACGGTGCGTGTAAATGGAGCAAAAAAAGTGAAGTGTCCACCTCCTTACATACAATAAGTGTCGTTAAGCTTGGTCTACACAATGTGCTTTTTGTATTCCTCCACCCCTTTCGTGAGTAAGTGGAAATTCTTACGGAAGAAAGAGCGAGAAACAAATTGTAGACCAAACTTTATCGCATCATATGGCAGTTCTTTTCACAGTTTCAAAATTCATAACAACGAAAAAGAGCGGTTTTATTAAGAGAGGCGGCAAAAAAAAAATATATATATATATGCAAGATGTCCCAAACTAATCTCGTAGTGTGCAAACTGAGCAGAAAAGTCATGTACTAGTTTGCAAAATTCGTAATAGTTGTGAAGAATTAGCGATTTTCTGTCTGAACTAATGAGCGAGAAGGTCTAAGCTCTGTATAGAGAAAAATAACTTACCACGGGAAGCGAAATTAGTTCGAGATGTCTCATGGAATGGCCATATTTGACAAATTTAACAGCAACTCGGGGGAAAAAAGTGATTAATTTTGGATGATTTTGACCTGATTTTGACCACAAGTGACAAAAGTCTGAATAGATAAGAAAAAAATAATTGTCAACAAGTATATGAAGTGAATGAATGATAAATTACCTGATAAGAAAATATTGTATTGATAAGATTTGTATCTTGAGAGAACAACTCTATACTTTGCTGCCACAGATTTGCAGGTGACAGCACAAGACAGTTGTATTCCGGTAGAATCTCCGGCTTCTTCCCATTTCTCTTCTTCACTGCTTCGATGTGCAGGCACACCTGGCCCAATGTTCTCAATCTAAAAATCAGCAATAGCTCATCTCGCGTCCTTCAATCGTATTGCTAGCATGCCGAGTAGCCAGGTCTTATATTCAAGACTGTCAGATGCATCGTAGCCAATGAAATGATCTATACAGCGCTTGAGACAATCTTAAATATAAGATACGATTATAAATACCTGCCTCTAAATTGGCAAACCAAAGCATGATGAGGAAAGCGCTGTACTTACGTGTCCGGGTGTTGATAATTCTGTATGATCTCTAAGAGGTTGAACACCTCATAGAGAGGCCCTCTGAAGGCATCCATCAGCGTAAGATCCTCGGCCCATGGTACCACTCCGACCCTGAGCAGTACTTGCTGGACGTACAATACCGAAGTTTCCGTATCGTTAACTGGTACGACAGTATTGTTTATCACCGTCTTTGGGGCATTACCCGGCATGGGTAGGTTGACGAGGGGATAACTGCAACAACATGGTGTTTTCAGTCGCATACTCACCTGTGACATAGATTTTCAGCAGTGAAAGTTCGCTCTGACTAAACTAGCGTACTACAGGAGGGAGACTTACCTACATAGCAGAACAACCGAAATCGCGATCGAGATCGCGGTGATGGGATGAGACGAGAGGAACAGGCCGTGGGCATAGTAGGCCCCCGCCACTCTCGCTGGCAAATCGCGAGACATTTCACCTACGTCTGCCCGAGTGACATCCCTCGATTAGTAGTAGCAGCGATCGATCTGCTGGAATGTGTGTGGTTATGACAAAAAAGCGATGAAAAAAGCAGACATATTTTTCTCACCGATTATCGCTGTTATTACGCAACTGACGTGTCGGACAGATTTCATTCCCGAAACGTCAGCGCGCACGGAGACACATTTTTATGCAACAGATTATCCCGACGCAGGTTAGAAGAGCGAACTGATAACCGCGCTGATAGCTCTCGTCGCGAGCGAACGCTCGCAATCCGGCATCGCGAGCGAGCACCGCGATGATCGCGGCGAAAAAAGCACTTACGGCGCATCCTAGTCGTCGCGCTTCATCGTGGAGGACGTTCCTCGCCAGAGGTCCAAGAAGTTCGACGGCCAATCCCGGGTCGCGCGACCACCTTCCCCGAGGAGGTGCGCGCAGCAATGGTTCGACGCAAAACACGCCGAGGAGGAGGTAGCGAACTAACTCAGAGGTTATGTACGACCATTTTTGCGCGTAATAGACGGAGAAGCGGAGAGGGGCGGCGCGTATTTACTCGCGAATCGCTACGCTCGCACGTGTCCGTCGCGCGTCATCAATTCGTGCGAACTGCGCGGCGAGGAAGCGGCGGCGTATGCACAGGACCGGCCTTTCATTTCGGAGTGCACTGGCCGGATTGAAGCGACGACGAGCGGAATCACGCACGCAGTCGGGCTTGAATTTATTTTTAAACGAGCGTGCCTCCGCCGAGCCCCCGTGCGCCGACCAATCGCAGGTGAGAACGACGGTCACCGCCACGTTGTCGGCCGCACGTGGCGGAGAAAAAGGGAGGAAAGAGGAACTTAACGCGGTTGATCGCCGCATGCATAATCGAACGGCCGTCCGTGGCTGCGGTAAAAAGAAGAGGTTTACGATAGCTCTCGGGGTATGAATATTCCTGCCTGTGCGCCAGACCGGAAAGATTTTCCGCGAAACTAAGAGGTAACGTCATTGACCCCGGGGCGAGCACGTGGGTGCACGTCATCTTACTTTATCGTTATCTCGCCGATGTACGCGATTGATCATCCGCGATATAACGCCTTATACAGGCGTCGAAGGTGATCTCTCTTGTTCTAGGTCCACGAAAGATAACGAAATACTCGCATATTTCGTCGATATATCTGCGATTATCGAGTCATAGATAGGGATTTATAATTGAAGGACGGGAAAGAAAGCGCTCGAGTGTTATTAGAGTATCGCGTATTAGCGAAATATTATTGGCATTGTTAAAATCTATCGCTTCATATTCGATCGTGATCAATCTAAATGCCGCGAAAGAAGTTTATTCTTATGACTATAATACGAAGAGGAAGACCGTCTGAGAGATTTCGATATTCCGCTATTCTTGTAAAATCAAAAATAGACTTTTATATTTCGCGGAGGTCGGAAATTGCGAATTTTGCAATCAAAGAGTCGGGACCGCAAAGTGTTGTTAGTACAATACCGGCTGCACAGAATTAAACATTCGCAACAATATGTCTCTTCGTTTTCGTTGCACTAGTGAGAAAACATATACTTGTCTCGCTTCAACTTATTGAAAACGAACAGACCTAATAATACACGTTGATGTAAACGGAGCTTTTTCGAATAAACCGTGTGTAAGGAGATTCTTACTTCTGTGTATAGTACTGACAAAACCGTAAGATCCCTTTAACTTGTTATTCACGCCGCGTTCGGTCGATACTTCATAAACTCACACTTAGAATCGTCCTTCTGCTTTTCTCTCCTCTCTTCCGCTGCGCTATTTATATTTAATTCTCACGCAGGCGGAAATTACGCGTTGGTGAAAATCCCGTCTTTCTCCGCGCGTAAGTAAGGGAGAAAGGTCACGTTGAGATACGCAGTTATTGGCCCGATAACGCACACTCCGACAATTTTCTTCTCCCCGGGTTCATGCGTAACTTCGTGTAGTCGAGGCGTTTCGCGCGACCTATTATCCCGCGATTGACGTATCTAATTGCATCAATTGCATAACAAATGGAAATTAGGCTGCTACAAATGGTCAATATCGCTGGCCGGGGTCAATCGTCTGCCGCGGCGTCCACGCGACTTCAAAGCTCGCACGTCGGACACGCTTCACGCATTGATCGTTCGCGTGGTCAAGAAAAACTTCGCATTAGAATATTATCAGATTGAGGCATCGAGGGCATTATTATAATATCTCGACGCGAGAGATGAAGGCGGCGATCTCTGCGTCGCCAAAATACGAAGAGGAAGATATTTTATTGGAATATTGCTGCGACATTAAATGTTTCTATCGTGTAGAAAACAGAAATGGACCGATTATTTTCTTAATATCTACATTGAAAAAAATGCCACTATTCGCGTAATATTTATTTCATCTACTGATTAACACAACCAAACTTTTTCCTCTCTGCACTTTCCTCAACCCGTTTTGACAGTAAAATAGCGAAAATTGAAGACATCATCAGGGTAAGTAAAAGTAGGAGTATAATTATATGATGAACATTGAAATTGAACCCACTTTGCTGTCTTACGGTGTTGTAGAATCAAAGGTTTGACAATAGAATCAAAATTTCGACTCGGGCGGGTTCACTCGCGAAAACAAACGGTGAACCGTAGCTTTAAAAGCTGGGAAATGCAGGAGAACCTCTCATTATTCTTTCCCCTTGAAACGCGCGCGTAAATATTATAAAACGCAATTACGCAAAGATTTCTTCTCTTTCTTTCCAATAAATAATAAGACTCGTCCCCGAAACTCGATTCCGCTCTCACGCCGGATATGTATTAGCCTAGTTACGCCGAAACTCCTGTATAATCAATTACACGCGTACATTGTAGATTATGCTAAGCGATCATTACGCGAAGTCGTAACGCCGTTACGTTATCGCTCAAGTCCTCGAGGGATCTCTCGTCGGCGGCTTTCATTATAACGGTAAACCAGTAAAATTTTATGCCGCTTTCCGCGAAACCCTCTCGTCCTAACGGGACCGCGGCTCGAAGCCGCTTATAGGCGATAGGCAAATGGAGCTTATAATAAAATCGACCCGATAAATATTAATGATCGCTAGCGTCGCGCCAGGTGCTGTTAGTTAGTTAGTTAGGGCTTGAGATGACCCGGCCTTCCGATGAAATCGATATCCGAGGTCCTGTTAGCCCGAAACTCGGATTTAATCCTCGACAAAGTCTCCCGGGTCGAATATATTCCCAACGAAAAAGCCATCAAAGGGATGTCTGTTCATCTTCCGTTCCTTTCGCTCTCTCGCCTTCGTCTACACGGTGTTGTTGCCGATCTTTAACGACGGCTATGTCGATTGATTTAATACCGAGTGGGCGGCAATTTTCGAGAGTCATAATAAACGGGGTTTGTTTCATAATAAACCGTTGTTCGTACGGAACTCACTCGCTGCGCTTCGCTGGAGCTTTATTTTTCGAGCTTCTTCCTTGAAATTTACTTTCTTCTCAGAATTTCAACTCGAAGAGTTTAGTTAGGATGTGTAACGTTAAACACGAAGAAGAAATTAGTAACAACTATAGATCAACATAACAAAAACGAAATAATAAATAAAGTCTTTTTTCACATTGCTTCAGATTTCCTTGATGAAGAAAGTCGCTGCTACGAACAAATTTTCAACGAACATTTTCTTGATTTACGGTTCTATATTTGTGACCTCCTATTGATCACTTTAATCCACTAACTGTATTTTCGAGAGTGGGTATCTGACAAACGGGAAACCGGGAACATTCTGAATATTAATCGTGCCGATGTGATTTTAGAGTCTGATATTATATTAATATTAAAATAAAGCTCCTCTCCTCTCCCTTTCTTCCCCTGCAATCTTATCTGCCACGGTGACACATCCGTCTTCCCCGTGATTTCCTCCGACGACTTTCGTCCTTTCCTACGCTTGTGTACATTCGGCTCGCGTTCCTCGCTCGCACGTCTTCTTAATCGAAATTGATGCGTCTCCGAGGGATGATGGATGGCTTCCCAGCAGCGATTCCACGAGGGCTGGACGTGCTTGCAAATTATTTTTCTCGCAGTCGATGGACGGACCCTCCTCGGTTTTTAATCTTCCAAATATTTTCCAAAGTTGCGCCGAGAACGAGAGCGTAAGTTGCTGGTGTACTCCCGCAATTTATCAACGACGTTTACCGGTAGTATCTCGCGAGAGCCGACGAATCCGCGGAACTTGGACGTAGTTAATATCCGCGGTAAGCCTCTCTTCGACGCTCGTATACCTCGCCGATAAATACCTCGCGTCGTATATTTTTTTTTCTCCTTTTGCCTGAAAAATATCTCGAGCTTAATTTCCGGAGGATCGGTTCGCGGAAGATCGATGCGCGGCTCTCTTGCCGGGCGTCGATATTACGAAACCGCCTTCAGAAGTTTGATAAGCTCCGGCTCGACGCTTGATGGAGTGGACTTATACGTCTTCGGCGTTTTGCACGGGGAAACGCGAACGAAACAGCGCGTATGTCTCTATTCGCTCTCCTTCGAAAGGGACCGCGTTTATCGTGTGGCCAGAACGGCAATTTATCTTACCGGCAAGGCGGACCCTTGGATATAAATGGCTCCTCGGCGAAGATCTTCTTCCAACGGCGACGGAGGGAAATCTACCGTTTCCATGTAAACGAAGTACATTTTCAATTTCTCGCATATTAAGGGAGAGCTCCCTCCCTCTCTCTTATGGCGTCTAAGGACGAGGTACATCCTCAATTTTTTAAGTGCCCGCATCTCCCTCGGATGTTTGCGGGGGGAAATTCTCGACTACCTCAGGTGAGTTTCTCATTTTCCCTTTTCTTTACACGATCTCTCACCGCGGGGAAAATTAAATCGCGGAGATAATCCACCGTGCGATCTATTAACCTTCTTCGAGCCCTTATTACGATTTAATCGCCGGGAAAATTGAGCCGGGACATCCGTATATCGCGGAATTCATTTCTCGGATATAAAGGGCCATCCACCCTAAAGGACATAGCGTGTGTCAGAGAGAGAGAGAGAGCTGTGATAACATTTTTATATCCGTTTGAGAATTAATTCCCACGGTCGATCAGAGACGAATGCGCGATCGAGAACACCTCGTCGGAGAGGAAAGTAAAGCGACGAAGAGGAAATCACGGCTTCCCTTCGGGGCATGATTCAAGAACGGCCCGCTTCATCCACCCGCGATCATCCCCGGGCAATATGTCTTGTATACGAATGGCACGCCGGAGTTTCCATCCAGTCCGCGAGAAAAGGCGCTTCGTCTTCCTTTGCGTCGGCTTGAACTTTATTATTGGTAAACAAGCTCGCTCCCCTTGTCCTCCAGCGGCGACCAAACTGGTAGCGTTTTTCTCCACCCGCCGCTCCGTTCCGCGAAGTTCGGGATTAAACTTAAAGTACGCGACTCGATATCGATCGGGCGATATTACACGAAATTTCTGTACGTTGCTATTAAACGCGCCGCATAGTTTATCTCCGCTCGTGTGGAGGACGACTTAATTAATTATTAATTAATTTCAAAATATATACGATCGGCCGGGCCGCGAGATTAATGTAAATTGCAAGTATAATCTCGACGATTAATCGTGCGCGCCGATTTAATTGGAATTAAATTTCAAACCGAATCGCGGTCGGATATATCGCGCGCGCCGTGGAGGGGATCTCGTACGAGATTGACGTTCGCTTCGACGCCGCCTCTCGTCATCGCTTTAGGCGCGAAATAACTCGCGCACTTGAACGAGTGCCAACGACCAACTTTTTCAATATAACTTTCTCAC